TATACCAATTCTTTTGTTTTCCCTCGGGAATATCAACATTTTCCGGGATAAAAAGTACCCTATTATTTAATCCGGACTTCTAACTTTACGTCTGCAAAAATTCAAAGCAATCAGTTTAGTAGTTACGGCGCGAAAGTGGAACAAACAAACAAACAAACTCACTTTCCCATTTATAATAGTAAGGATGTCCTCGTAAGCTCATAACTGCCAATAAATATATTTATCTTTCTTCTTCTTTCTCTAGATTAAAATTATCGATTATATTACTCACTATTTCTCACAGGGGTACTGAGCTGCACTAGCGCCACCGTATTGTAAGTCTCCTCGTACTCTGGGTGAAGCACATAGTTGCGCACACGGCGACCTGGCCGGTCCCAACCCTCTCCCAGTAATACACGCGAGTTCTTTCTGCAATCATCAATGTAATTTGATTGTTATTTTTTTTAAGGGGGGGAAATTATCGAATGACTGCTCCCGCCTGGGTGAGGCGGAAGGGAGTGTCAGACTCTTACTGACTAAAAACCACCCCGTTCCTTCTCCTGCACGTCGAGCCGGAGCCCCGGTTACCCGTTAGGTTCTCCGCGACTCCGAATCGGCATCGGCCCTATTGGGCCCCATCTGTGGTGGTCTGATGGCTCTTTGAGGCGCGCGCGGAACGCGACGCGCCGTACGCTCGGGTCTGTTTCTGGTCGGACGGGGGGCCACCCATGCTCGCCGTCCGCAGGCCCGCGCTTACGGTGGCCGGAGATCGTCCCGCGATCCCCGACGCCCGGTGTGTCCTTCGCGATGGCTGGGTTGCGAGGGGGCAGCGCTTCGCTGCCTCACGCGTCCCGCCTCCTCCTTAGCTAGCATGACTGCTTCGCAAAAGGAAGAGACAGCATCCCAGTCCCCTCGCTCAATTTGATTGTTTAGACCGCAGACGAATCACGTAAACGTGAGCAATCGTCGTCAACCATGGACACCCGAAACACAACGCAAGTATTGTTTTCAGCCAGGTCTCTGTAAGATCGTGCTATTACTCCGACCGAACTTGTTCATTCGTACTAAAGCATGGTTCTGCCACACCTATACGCATTAACTTGCTGCCTTTACAGTAGCCAATATATTTGCGAATTACCTAAATGTAGAACCTAAAAGTTTCTACGTGCTTCTACCCAAAAGAGGTAGGTAAAAGTGAGTGCAGGTTTCACATATACCAATGTTTTTTAAAGGGGGGGGGGGGATCATCCAATTCCCTCCCTCGCATCCCCAATCTCTCCAACCCATGAATTTCCAACAATCCTTAAACTCCTAATCCCTAAAAGGCCGGTAAAGCACTTTAACGCCTCTTGCGTTCCAAGTGTCAATCAGATCAGGTGAGTTTGCCTGTTCTACCGCCTTATCTCATAAAAAAAAATATTGTATCGGTAACCTCACTCACATGACGGAACACGCAAGTATTGCTTCACGTCAGTTTTCTGTGATTCCGTGGTATCACTCCGGTCGAGCCGAAACATGGTTCTCCCACAATTATTGGACTATACAAATAAATACTAACTTAACGCCAGACTACCAGGACTGCAAAATAAACTTTATTCATCTAGCAATAGAGACTATTATCATGTTGCGTAACGATAGTTAGTTACCTAAAGTTGTGTTTTGGCATAGGACCTATATCGGCGGCCGCGGCGATGACAAACTCGCTCTGAATAAGGACGACTGTAGTCACTGATCGACTGTCACCCTCTTCACCAACTGCAAACAAACATGTTACAATACCTTTAATACGGCGACGGCAGAGTACAATACATTTCTCACCACCCGACTAAAGGTCAGCGTACGTCTATAAGCACGAATCTAACCCAGCAATTAAGTTGTCATTTAAATATATACTTTAAACCGTATGTCGTATGATATATTTCATAACGTCAAAAAGCCGACGGTGTGTGGTCAGCGCCCGGTCCACTCGAGGTGTAGTCGAGGCGCCCGCGTGCTTACGCCTCGCCGACCCCGCGTCATCGGCGCGCTGTCGGGTCGCGGGCGGCGCGCTGCCGGGTGGTGGGCGGCTCGGTGTTCATGCGCCGACGGCAAGTTAATTTTTATTTATTTCAGGCATCACAGGCCTTTATCGAATACTATAAACTAATACATTAAAGATTTATGAATACTACACATACATTACAAACAAAATAATTACTCAATTAGGTATTTAATAACTAGGTCACACGAATAGACGGCGTCGTGGGTCGCAGAGTGTCCGGTAGCCGACCTCGGAACCGTCGGAAGACTACCTCTCGTGGCCAAAACTCCTCTTTCATTAAGGTTGGCAGATGTTCAGTCGGCACCCTGACTACAAAAGACTTAAAGTCCACTCTTAATAGCGAGCCACCCGCGAAACAACGTAGCATCATAGGTAGGTATTGTTGACTATACTTGTGATGACAAGCGATCGCGGTGGCGCGGTCCTTAAGGTATTGCATTCCACTTAATACCCGAGATCGAACAGCAGTATTCTCTGACAAATCTAAACTTAGACTTTGATCTCCAACTAGATTGAAAAGGCCGTCTGTCATTGGTCGATATTATTCTCACAACCAATAACATGGCGGACGGCGTTCAAGTGCAGTTCGATCTTTGAAATTGAAAGTTACAGGATAGCGTAGGAGGATTGGACATATACAGGCTATGTAACTTGATCTTTAATTATTCAATATTCACTAATCCGATGCTTTTTTTCCATAGTACTTTTGACGTCATATCAAAGCAATAAAGATGAAAATCCAATGAAAATAGGTAGGTAAAACGACCTTATAGTGTTATACTTTACAGTACATGGTATAAGACTCACAGTAGCTGTAGAAGAGTACTCCAACCCAAGGATAGTGTGACACGTCCAAATCGCCTTCGACGACATCCAGCGCGTGGTCTACCCCACAGTCTAACACGTCTAGCTTCACCGACTGGATTCTGCAAACTAAAACATATAAATGTGTAATAGACACAAAATAAATAAAAATCTCCGATTTAGGAAGTTACAATACAATTATATGCAAGCTGTATTTGAGGGGGAAACATCTTCCAATGACTTCTCCCGCCCTGTTGAGGCGAGAGGGAGTGTCAAACTTACTGACTAAAAACCACCCCGTTCCTATTCTTGCAGTTCCGAAGCCCCGGCAACCTATTAACCCTTTAAGTACCGTCATTATAGACACAATCAAAGAACAATAGGTTGCAGTCACCGGTGTCCTCGCGGTGTTTGACAGTTTAAGTCCTTTGCGGCTATTATAATGCAAACTGGAGGAGGTGAAAAAACAGATTCAGGATCTACTTATAAAGAGCTTTACTAGCAGACTCATACATCCATCGTAGACCGCATCATCGCTTAGAACTAGGCGTAATAGTGGTCAAACGTCGGCCCATCAAATATAAAAAAGACTGACCGACGAACTGACATTTTTAATATATTTTTTTTATGTTCAAACGTTCCTTTCTGGTCTTATTGAAATAAATGATTTTAACTTTGACTATAGGCCTATGTAGGTATTTGAAAACATTTTTTTGTAATGTAGAAAAGAAGATTGTCTGCCAAGCATGGGTATTGTGGCATTTGTAATTGTAGCAAAGCTCCACCGCTTAAAAGGGAGACCTGCTATTGAGTAAAGGGCGTCTTCTAACAGACGAGTGAATAGGTTGCTCATAGGTAGGCGTTTTCCATCATCGGCCACATCATCGCTTACCACCAGGCGAGATGACGACCAAACTTCAACCTATGAAGATTACAAAATTTCATTACAAAATTCCACCCTGTATATGGTGATTAATACTTACCACATATTTTTTTTAAACTAGGCATAAAACTAAATCTATAGACAAATAGATAGTTACTTACTTTGCAACAGAACCACCACCACTATCAACATTTTGTTGAACATTTTTTTACGCAAAAATGTCTTTATTTTATTATTTCTAGTAACACCAGCCGATTAACCTCAATCATTTTTAATAGATTCCCAACTTAATACATACAGAGATAAAGCTGAAAATCAATTACACAAGGAGAAAGTTGATGAGTATGTAGCAGTACTTATCACTACAACCGACTTTATTCAAATGAGTTTTAGATCAATTACGCAAACATCTGTATACCTAGACAGTTGTGTATGAATGTGGATGTTTGTTTGTATGTTTATTTTACGACCAAACGGACGTCGCTACTACTATGTCTAAAAATATTTGGTGAATTACACTGTCATAACAAAACATTGCATTTTTAAGTAGAAAACAAAAATGTTTAATCGTCGCAAGGACACTACATTACCGCTCGACAGTCGAGATTACGTTAAAAAGAAGTATAGAAATCTTTAAAATGCATCGATCGATAACGCACCGCGCACTTGTTGTTGGCCGTGTATAGTAATGATAGAGTCAGTATCGTGGCTAAAAAAAAAACTAAAAAAAAATTACGTACAAAAAAAGTTAGGCTGCAGCGGCTGCAACCGTCTCCCGACGAGTCACGCCTCGAGAAGCCTGTCGCTGTCGTGTCGACTGTTCGTCTGCGTAAAGTAGGTACCTACTACTTTTGTTTGCTTGAATAATTATCTAATAACTCCTATGGCCTTGGATGAGGAGTGTCAATCTTACTGACCCTGTTCCAACTCCTGCACCGTCGTGGTGATTAACCGGCGGCCCTGCCAGGCCCCGTCCATGGTGGTCTGATGGCTCCTTAAGGCGCTCGGTGCCGTACCACAGAATGAACCGAAAAAAGTATCCAATTTCGAAGTCAAACAACCTGACCTGATGTATTATCCGACCTGGGTCGGTGCAAAAAGCAACTAATGGAGGTAAGTTTTTTTACTCATCAAATGGATGGCGGAAATGTAGGATGAGGTATTTTTGTCCAATCACTGCAGCTGTGACACTGACACTAGCTAATTCCCCATTGGACGAAGAACACTAGCGCCATCTATTGAGCAAAAATACTGAAGGCCCCATTAACTACCAAAATAAAACCAAAAAATATTATAAACTTACAATTTATTTAAACCTTAAAACTTAGACAATTTAACCTTAAGCAGATTGCTACGCAGATCTCATTCCGGTGATCTTTCTGTAGGCACTGAAATGTTCTAAGTACTGATATATGGTGTCTATGGGAGTGTAGATTTCGTTCATTCTGGTGACTAAATGCTGTGGTGCTTGTACCAACACAGAGGGACCTAGGAACCCTTGCAGGAACTCACGCAACAAACCCCAAACGGCGTTAGGTGTAACACATGGACGGTACTCCACCTATAAAAAAAATAATTATCTATGTTACGGTAAATCTGATTAATTGGAAATTATTAATATTTTTACAAAATTATTAATAATAACCACATGTTTTGGTAAATGTGAATAAACGATCGAAATTTATTACTTTTAGTAGTAATTATTAATAATTCACGACACATATTGGTAAAAGTAATAAAATAAATAAAAACCCAATGTTTTTTGACCAGCAGGTATTTATTTATAGTATTAAACACAGTCTTACAATTATATTAATTAGAGATCACACAAACAAGGTTACTTGTACCTACTTGCAAACTAAGCAAACAACAAAGCAAGAAAGTCTTTCGTGGTACATAAAATTGTAACAAAAATAAAATTAAACAATTATTGTTTCATTAACAAAATCAACACGAATCCTAAAAGCAATCATTAACAATAATATTTGGTTTGCCTGTAAATCTTCTGTAGCACCTATAAATGCAACAATTTAATTTTTAAAAGTATTGTCATAGAATTCAACAAATATTTGTTGTATAAGTATAAACAATTAAAGACTCATAAAAAAAAAACCAAAAATATTATTTATTTTTGCAAGAAAGACTTTTATGGCACTTAGAATTGCAAAGAACGTGTATTTTTTTTTCATTTGCAGCGATTAGAGTTGCATTCGCCAGTACAGTTACAGTGTTGAAAGCCTTGCCTCCCCAAATTTGAGTCCTTGCGGGCACATTCTCGCCCCGCAACCCTTGGCCACTTATTACATTTATCACTACTAGGGTTAAATTATTAATAAAAACCGACAAATGTGATTAATTTATCACTTTAACCTCGACTTTCGGTAATTATTAATAATAATAGATAATTATTAATAATCTTCAATTATTCACTCTTACCGTAACATCTATATATATAAAAGAAAGTCGTGTTAGTTACACCACTTATAACTCAAGAACGGCAGAATAGATTTGGCTGAAAATTGGTAGAGAGGTAGCTTAGAGCCAGGAGACCGACATAGAATACTTTTTAACCAAATTTTTTTTTTACTTTTTACCGAAAATCACTAACGGGGACGGGAAAAAATGGGATGGTACGCGTACGAAGTCGCGGGCAGAAGCTAGTTTGTTATAAAAGACCAATCAATAATATTAATATTATTACATGACAGACTGCCTCGTTGGCCGATTGGTCGCAAGTGTGACTGCCGGGCAAGCGGTCTCGGGTTCGATTCCCGGGTCGAACAAAGTATTATTGGGTGTTTGAAAATAAAATTCTTACTAGTAGCACGGAGACTGGAATTGTGCTCGGTATATGGCAAAGGCAATAGGCTCACCCCCTATTACATGGGAATCATTACATAAAAGTGGGTGTTACATTGTACAGTGGCATTAAGTGCCTTAATGTGCACCTCTGCTTACCCCTTCAGGGATAAAAGGCGTGATGTTATGTTATTATACGATATTATTACCTTAATTTTTTTTATTTGTTTTATACATTTACACAAGGAGGACTATTCAACAATTTCAATTGTAAACAATTGAAATTATTATTCTTTAATAGGGGCTAACGATTTTTTACTCACCAGATGGTGCAAATGTAGGGAGGGGTTTATTGTCCAATCACAACAGCTGTCAAATATTAAACGTCCATAATGGTGTGACGCTAGCTAAATCCCTATAGGACGAAGAACGAGAGGATCTCACTAGCGACATCTATTGAGTAAAAATACGATAGGCGCCATTTTCAAAAACATGCCGATTATAATAATATGTTAGATGTACGATCCACTTTTAGGAGTCATTTTGAAAAGGTGTCTGTCTGTCTGATTGAAATAAGCTCAATAACTAATGAACCGATTTCAATGCGGTTCACATCAGTGCAATCTTTAACGCTACACGTTACGCGGGAGCCGGTTGCCAACGCCACTACAATAATTGTACAGTCAATTAGACACGATTTTATTACTTAGTGATTTTTTTATGGGTTAAGCCGATAAACGAGCAGACGGATCACCTGATGGTAAGCAATCGCCGTCGCCCATGGACACCTGGAGGACCAGACTTTCTTTCTTTCTTTACAAGTGCGTTACCGGCCTTTTGGGAATTAGGAGTTTGAGGATCGTTGGGGATTTAGGGATTGGGGAGATTGGGGAAGGGGAGGGTAATTGGGCCTCCAATAACTTCACTCACACGACGAAACACAACGCAAGCTTTGCTTCACGTCGGTTTTCTGTGAGTATCACTCCGGTCGAGCCGGCCCATTCGTGCCGAAGCATGGCTCTCCCACACTTAAGTGATGGTTTAACTTGGGAAATACTATGGTACAGTACCATGCCCTAGAAATTATTTTAATCGATTCTGGGTTTTTGCTCTATACAATTTTAGACATTGCCCTTTAGAGGTTACAAACAGAGCCGTAATATCGCTAGGCAAACTAGGCAAATGATAATGGCGCCAGGATAGACAGGGGCGCCGTGAGACCCGTGTGTCAAAAATTGGGGGCGCCAATGAAGTGGTTGCTAGGGCGCTCTCTGGTAGTACATATAACTTAGTAAAAGTCACATTGGTACTTGCCGTTGGTAGGTTTTGAAGCCGCACCCTCATGCATGAGAAGCGTGTCTTAATCCTTCGGGCCACCACGACATACGAGTCATAGAACATAGGCAAAATACACAACCATTATAATAAGCTTACCTCAACAAGTATTCCTTTAAAACTCTGATTCATAGTGACAGAACCGAGCTTTATGCAGAAATCACCGAGTTCAAACCTCGGTCCTTTGCTCTCAATTTTAGTTTGTTTTTTTGATGTATAGTGCTGAGAAAGCTTCATCATTAGCAGATCGAACAAGCCGTCCGCTATCACATGGATGTTTTTGGAACCGGTGTCCAATATTGAGAATACGGATGCTGGTTGCTCTGAATTGTGAAATATGTGTACTGTCTTTGTTGTGCCTGGAATTTTATTAAATGGTTCAATTCTCAATACTTTATTGCTTTTCACATGTATTACTTAGGTGGTAAACATAATTAGGACAGAATGTGAACCCTGTCGGGCACAACAACATAAGTTTTCACTTAGCTTGCTCAGTTTGTTTGTTTGTTTCAAAAACATTGTTTACTAATTAACATTAAAGTTTACAATTTTTAAACCGACTTCAAAAAGAAAAAAAGGGGAGGTTTTTAGATTGACCTGTATGTATGTTTGTGCGCGATTATCTCTTGATTGGCCGAACCGATTTCGATGCGGTATTCAGAAATATGTTTGTTACATACGAGTATATTAATTGACCGACTTCAAAAAAAAGAAAGGGTGAAGTTGTTTTTTTTGAACATAGTTTAAAAAATAATTGTTCCCTCTTCCTGGCGACAGATTGATGTGATATTTGGTACACACACCTCCATTATGGATATCATATAAACAGGCTTGATAAGTAGAATAGAGTGCATTTAAACTGTTTCTACTCCTGTGCAGTTTCCCGCGCTACTTGTTTTCCTATTCATCGAAGCGTAATATTTGATAGCCCCACTCGATAATGATTGAATCCAAACCAGTAGTTTTAGGGATTAGCCCGAACAAAAAGAACAAAATAAAATAGAAATATTTTGTGTATAATTTTACAGACACAAATATCCACTTACCCATTTGTGGATGTGACAGATAACTCTCGCAGTCAACAAGGAACTGGCCTTGTTGTGACGCTCCTAATGCCAGTATACGTTTAGTGAGCAGCTCTATTACGTATGTACCAGTCTTGTTCTCCGGAACCGGGTACTGTTGTAATCTGGAAAATATATTGACATGTCAAGTAATTATCGAGGAGAGAGTGTTTTTACTAACAACGAAGTAAACACCTAATAAGAAAGGAATTGCCAACTGTGCTACACTGTACTAGACTTGGGTGCAATAAACATTATAGTTACATTATCCGAGTGATCTTTTCTCTGCACACTCCAACATCAACTACAAGTGTACGAATTGTACAATAACATTACTTACACTGTCACACCCATGGTAACTGTTTTCTTAGATTTTGTTTGTAATCAAAACTTGCTTATGAGGTTAGTTAACTTTCATTATGTTTACACCACAATATACATCAGGAAATTAAACTAAACACGCTATTTTTGTTGTTAAATCTTAACAAAAGCTATTAATAGATAATGTAAAAACAAATAAGTTTTTATAGAAAACTACAACAGAAATACTGATTGCCGATCGACTATCAACAAATTTACGAAAGAAATGTCTATACAAAAAAAAATAGATGCTGAGCTGACACTGACAACTACAACTGACAAATGAAGTGGCACTGACGTTTGACGGCCGTTTGATACTACGCAGAGAATAGGACTGAATTGGAGATTTTAATAATCGGTTTCTACCTAGATGACTTACAACATATAACATCACTTTTATCTCTGGAGGGAGAGGGAGGCAAAGGTGCACATTACGGCACACAATACCACTGTACAATGTAACACCCACTTTCCACTATTTATGTTAAGAGACCCATGTAAAAGGGGGTAGGGTAAACCACATTGCCATATACCGGACAAAATTCCAGCCTTCGTGCTACTATTGAGATTCTTTTATACACAGTAATACTTTGCCCGACCCGGGGATCGAACCCAAGACCCCTTGCCCGGCAGCCGCACTTGCGATTGCGACCACTCGGCCAATGAAGCAGTCCTCGACCAACGAGGCAGTCATTACTCATTATTGTATACGCGGAAAAATAGTGATTGATTCACCTTAAAATTGATAAACAGAAATGGGTAAAGTATCGTTTCATTTCAAAGAATTTGATTGGATTCTCTGAAGTGAATGGTAGTGGCAGCATAGGTATAGCGTTAAATTACCTACGTTTAACATTGTGTGTGTTTGATGTAATTGTAATGTTATATTATAATATGAAGTAAAAGATTTTTCTTTTTTTATAATTACTTTAGATATTATTATACCGATTTTAATAGGCAACCCTACTGATATCGCAGTTTTTGTCGTTACCACCCCACTGTTTTGACGTCACAATCGGACGCTGGACCAATGGAGTAACGACAGATAATTTCATGGGCAAATTGACAAGTGCCGAGCCCCATTTATCAAAGTATTTATTTACATCAGAACAGTTTTATTTGGCCATTACGTATTCGAACGACAGACTTGATAAATAAGAGAACTTTTGTGGTTTTATTGCGTCAGCGTAAAATTCTAGTGTTTTTATCGTAGTAGTGCTTTTGTAAAGCAATTAGCGAAGTGAATTGGTAGCGTTGTTAAAATCACGAGTTATAAGTGTTATCTAATAGCAGAGAGCAATTGGATGATTGAAGATGATACCGAATAACGTGACTTTGATTGTGAAGGCACCGAATCAACAGATTGAGGACCAAAATATTGAATGCGAGTCGTCATGGACGGTGCGACAGTTGAAGGGGCATCTCTCCGAAGTTTACCCAAGTAAACCCGTGAGTATTATTCTATACTTCTATAAAAATATATCCTTCGTGAAATATTTGTAAAATTTGTCGTTATCTTGTGTGTTATAAACATTATCAGTGTGTTTTTAATCAGCAAACCAAATCACTGTCATTGAATGTACACTCAATTTAAATAGGTAATCAAGATTTCTATATAATAAAATAAAACTTTGAAGGTGTAGCACACTGATATCAGACAGTTTACTATTAAACATGATACACTACACTATTATACATAACACATAACATAACATAACATCACGCCTTTTATCCTCGAAGGGGTAGGCAGAGGTGCATATTATACCACTGTACAATGTAACACCCACTTTTCACTATTTATGTTATGAGTCCCATGTAATAGGGGGTGAGCCTATTGCCATATACCGGGCACAGTTCCAGACTACCGTGCTACTACTGAGAATTTTTAAAAACCCAGTAATACTTTGCCCGACCCGGGAATCGAACCCGAGACCCCTTGCCCGGCAGTCGCAATTGCGATCACTCGGCCAACGAGGCAGTATTATACATAATAATATATTATTTCTTTACAATATATCTCTTTGAAAAATAAACTTTAAATATGTTTCTAAAAATAATAACACAAGCCATCATATGTGATTTTACTTTAAGGAAAGACAACACAAATATGCATACTAACACTATGTATGTCTACTGAGTTGGGCAGCCTGTGTACAGCATACATAAGTTATTAGAAAGAAAGAAAAACTATTTATTTGCACTAATAGCTACTTCCATGTGGTTTCACCCACTCTGCTCGGCTCCTTCTGGCTACCTTACAGAAAACTAATGTAAAACAACACTTGCCCAATTATCACCCTCCCATTTCCCCAATCCCTGAATCTCTAACAATCCTCAAATTCCTTATCCCTCCAAAAGGCCGGTAACACACTTGTAACGCCTCTAGTGTTCCAGGTGTCTATGGGCGACGCCAATAGGGCTCGTTTACTGACCAATATGGTAACTAGTAAGGAGACCAGATTGATGGTAGCATAAAATAGTGTATGGTCATCGGGTTTCACATAATTGCCAAGTATTATGATGTGTTCTGAACCCAAGAATATTTGAACATGTGGCATGAACTTGCCAACCTGTAGTTACGTGTCTGATACAATAGTTAAAAATGTAGATTCTTAAATTTTATTACATGTTTTGTTTAAGTTGACCTAAGAAAATCGCGTTTAATATGCCAGCGTACAGGTGCTGCTGCACCGCTTCCCATATGACTGTTAACGGCTGGCACAGTAGTTGGGCACACTGGTTCAATTCCCGGTCGTGGGTTTGATTCTCACACAGAACAAATATTTTGTGTGATCCACAGATTATTTTTCTGGGTCTGGGTGTCATGTGTACATGAACTTGTATGATTTTAAACGCACGCACGACACAGGAGAAAATAATCCTAGTGTGGGACACCTTTTTTTTAATCATTATCAAACACCTTTATCATCATAATCATTTCTCAATCTATCCATGCTTTCTTCCGCCCCAATCTCAATATTTTCATAACTCTCATACCAAACCATAACATTATATTCAACCTATGAATCTCATTGTTTTCAACCGCAATGAATACTTAGAAATACAAAGAGTATTCGTAAATAATTGACCATTGTTCTATACTGTTCATCAGATTAGACATGCTTCGTTTAATGTATGTATACTTTAGTAATCTGTAACAGTCATAGGTAATGTGGTTCAGTTTGTTCTACTGTTACTGATAATATAATATTTTTTAACTACATATTAAAAATTGAGTTCAATTCCCTCTTTTATTGAAGTCGGTTTATTAATATACCTATTAAACCTTTTTCCTAAGTGTAACAAACAGATAATCGCGCACTAACATACATGCATTTTCATTTTCTTTTTGTAAATAAAACTTTGACCCCCATTAGGATTTTTTCCTGTGTCGTAGGTGCGTTTACAAACATACAAGTTCACATACACATGACACCCAGACCCGGAACAACAATTTGCGGATTACACAAAGACAATTCTTTGTGAACGGCGAGAATTGAACCCGCTACACGTTGCACACTGCACCACTGAATTTGTTTTATTCCCTTGCCTAGAAATTCAAACAATGTACCTAGAAAATACGCAGTTAAAACACAATATCCACTTTATTTAAAACAAAATAAAGTTACTTTTTGTGTGGTACGTTATAATAATTGTGTAATTTTTTGGTAAATACACTATTTTTGTACTTATCACCAGACAATAATGTTGATGTGTTAATGGCTTGATAAGTTTGAAGTTGTCAGAATGTTCTGGCAACGTAATGTTATTTCGTGGTAGCCTGGAGGTTTAAGACATTCGCTGTTTATGTAGGTTCGGCGATGCGGTGTCGAACCTACCAACGGCAAGAACCAATGTGACTTTTTCCGAGTTATACGTACTTTCTAAGAGTATTTAGATACCACTGACAAACGGTGAGGCAAAACATCGTGAGGAAACCTCGACTTATAATTTCTAATTATAGGTACCTAAGTTTGAAATCACCAACCCGTATTGAGCAAGCGTAGTGATTACTGCTGGCTTCTCCGTACGTGAAAATGCCTTTAGTCAGCAGGCTTATAGTCTGTTGATGATAATAATACTTTTGTCATTTCATTTTTGGCAATAACTAGTATTGTGATTAATATCATAATCTGAACCTCCGACTCCGGAACCTAAGCCAAGGTTACCCATCGATCTTTTCGAGGATTGACGGCATATTGCTACTCTCGCGCGATTTCACCCGCTACCCGACTCCTATTGATCCCAGTGTGATGTTTAAAGCCCATAGCCTTTCTCGATAAATGAACTATCCAACACGAAAAGTATTACTCAGTTCGAACCAGTTATTTCGGAGCTTAGCACGTTGAAACCAACTCGAACTTTATACAATTAGTAAAAAAAATCTTCGGCTATAACGCGGCCCTGTATTGATTTAAAAGCCTCCTTCTGCGAAGCAGTCATGCTAGCCAAGGAGGAGGCGGGGCGCGTGAAGGAACAAACCTCTTCACGCCCCAGCCGTCGCAGGAGACACTCCGGGCCTCGGAGATCGCGCGACGATCTCCGGCCACCGAAAGTGCGGGTCTGCGGACGGCGAGCAAGGGTTGCTCGCGACTCGACCAAAACCAGACCCGTGCGTACGGCGCGTCGTGTTCCGCGCGCACCTCAAAGAGCCATCAGACCACCCCAGATGGAGCCCAGTAGGGCAAATGCCCTATACGGAGCCGCGGAAGGCTTAACGGGTTGCCGGAGCTCCGGCTCGAAGAGCAGGAGTAGGAACGGGGTGTTTTTTAGTTAGTCTAGAGTCTGACACTCCCTCTCGACTAGCCCAAGGCGGGACAAAAAAAACTCAGGTTGTTCATGTGTAGACGTGCTCCATCGTCGGCCACATCATCGCTAACACCACGCGAGATGATGGCCAAACGTCAACCTATCAAGCATAAAATAGTAATTTAACTATAAACATAACCGGGGTAGACATGATTAGTCTAAATACACTGCAACGTACATTAGTGTTGTTAAAACTAAGCACTTAAAATACCACTTAATTAGGTTTTAGGTACCTACCGTCTTAATACTAATCGAACGTAGTTAATCACAGCGTTACGTATTCCCCTATTATATTCCGCTACAAACTACATCAATTTGTTTGAGCGATAGTATTAATTGCATTAGCAATCGGCACGTGTACTAAGTTATTAATTAATATCGAGTTTATAACTGAAAATTTACATTTACGTAACATTGTTAATCGTTAATCCCCCTTTTTTTGCCAAAAAATGGTATTATTTGCACTCCACTGTCGAATAAATGCTTTTTCTTTCTTCAAAGTCAGAGTCAAAATCATTTATTTTAATAGCCAAGGAAGGCACTTTTGAACGTCAAAACGAAATATTGAAATATTAAAAAAATTACAGTCTGTGGGTCAGTCCTATAATAAAACTATTTGCTCGTTCCAAAGTGTAGATTCCTATGGAGAAGAACGAGCAGGAAACTCCATAGGTTACTCTTTTTCAATCACGTTCACAATACAAATCTTGGTTACATTGTTGTTTCGTTGGTTCAATTATGTGAGAACAATGTAACACCAATATTATTTCTTTCTTTCACTTCTAACTCCTCTGAGGGTCTAGTACGAGTTTATTTTTTGTTTAACGATATTCAAACGTTACGACATTCAGCGCTCTCATTTTTTGGTTCATTGGAATAGACCAATCACAGTTTCGAGAGTAATTTTACCCTTACCTGTAGCCCTTACACTGAACAGGTGGCTTGTGACTTAGGCATTGCCGAGAATTACGAGTATGCTGTTGCTAATTTATTTAAGGGGCGAACATCATTCCAATTTCTCCTACGGCATTGGTTTTTTTTTTGGACTAGGAGGCAAACGAGCAGTTGGAGAACCTGATGGTAAGCGATCAGCGCTGCCCATAGACACCCGCAACACCAGAGGAGACACAGGTGCGTTGCCTGCCTTTTAAAAGGGAATACGCTCTTTTCTTGAAGGTTTTGAAGGTCGTATCGGTTCGGAAATACCGCCGACGACAGATTATTCCACAGTTTTGCTGTGCGAGGCAGAAAGCTACGTGAGAGACGAACAGTTGTGGCCTGCCAACCATCGATATGATGGGGATGCATATGCTGTCGTGAGGGTCGATGGCGAAAAGGTGCGGCAAGTATCAGGTCAAACAATTCCTCAAAGCACTACCCGTGGTATAAGTGAGATGTAATGTCAGACGCTTACTAAATAAAAACCACCCCGTTCCTATTCCTTATTCGAGCTCATCCCTTGATGGCTGGTCATAATTTTGAGCATACTCGGTTCAAAGAACATTATATCCAAGTAGTGATCTGTTTGCGGACGGATGGAAGGAGATTTTATCAGGATGCTTGAAGTACTGCGAGAGAAAGATAGGAATAGTGTTAACTCCTTTTTTAATTAAGTTTTACTTTTCTTTTTCTTTTCCTCGTTGTGTGTAATGTTTATGTTTTGTATTTGTTACAATATCATCTTTTATTGTTGTAAATATCGATGTCAGTAATTCGGTCACGTGACGTCATGTTCAAGCAGTAAAGACACGCTTCCTAATTAAAAACAATTCAATACTCAATTACTTTAATTTGAATTTAACATACCAACACTAATTCTGTAATACGGTGAACTGAACTAGTTTGAGGTTTTCATAATAAATTCGTGACAGTGACGAAACCGGGTCGGTATTGTGGTCTCTATTTATTAGTTACTCCATGTCACTTACTGTCTCTAAGTGACACGATTACGGTTTTTTTTTTCATTTCACAGTTTTCGTTTTTTATCTGTGTAAGTTGCTGGAATATACGGCCATATTATCCGCAAACGGCAACCGGCTACTGAGTAATATGTTGCGGGCTCGATCCCCGTACGGAACCACAAATTGTTGTTCCGGGTCCGGGTGTATTGTGAATTTGTGAAACGCACCCACGACACAGAAAAAAGCACTAATTTTATTTTTATTTTATTTTATTAACGCTTCATGCACAAGGTGTACACAAGGTGGACTTAATGCCGCAGGCATTTTCTCCCAGTCTGACCTTTGGGTGATGCAGAGAAGAGTGAATGGTAGGAGCAAGAAGCAAGCAACGATTTAATTGAGAAAATAGAAGATTACACTAACATATTTCAAATATGAACATAAATAAATATAATAATAATATATATATATATACCTACACACGAGTACACTACAATATACATACATACATACATACATAGACTCATAGCATATAATATAAATATGAACATAATTACTAATACTCTGTAAATAATTATTGTGACGATTCAGCCAACCTCTTCAAAAGAAGCTCACGCACTTTCTGCTTAAATGTTAGACGTGTCGACACCATCCTGACATCCAGGGGGAGCGCATTCCACAGCAAAATTGCCTGCACGAAAAAGGAAAAATGAAGGAAGTCAGTGTGATGAGTGGGACATTGGAGAAGACGGTTATGGGAAGAACGAAGGTTTTTACTGTGGTTTGCGCACAAGTATTGAAAGTAAGGGGATAGATAACTGGGTAAAGAAGGTGAACAAAGAAAAGAGAATAGAGTGGTTAGCGCCCTTTGCTCCCTGCGCTGGCGTATGGGCAGCCACTTCAGTTGCAGCCGATGTGCAGAAACATGATCGTATTTACGCAGGTTGAAAACGAATCGAATGCAGTTATTTAGAAGTCGGTCAAGTTTGTTGAGGAGGTCTGCCTTCAGGTCGTAGTAGCACACATCAGCATAATCGATAATAGGGACTAATGTGGTGCAACGTTTATTAAAAACAAATAAAAATTACACCAACAGAAGCGATTCAGTGCACACTGGAAGTTTAGACATCAATTTCGACAGAAATGAGTCGCTAAGTCAGAAATTCGATTAATAGATTCTCAACTTTATTATAAAACTGTAAGGTTAAAATTGAAAGTAGGTACCTGTATGAAAGAAATTCACGACTTCTCGACCGAATTAACAGTCGTCGTTATCAATATTGGGCCTACCGAAGTACAATCTGAAGGTCTAGAATGAGTTTGTTTTACGTTTAACGCAATCGAAACGTAGCCTTCTGATTGATTGGTATATTGGAGCAGCCAATCAGAGCGCCGATCGTGGCCGAACATCTTAAACGTGGCAATCGCGTTTAACGTAAGAAAAAATCGTACTAGACCCTAAGTAATCACATATAGGCATCTACCTGACCTCCTAACACCGGTTAATTAATCTTAATTGGTTATGTCAACCGTCGTGGTCTCTTTTGCAGGTCGTTCTCAAAGAATTTTAGATATACTTTCTCTAAATGTTATTTTAATGCAAATCTGAAATGTTATTTTATTTAGGTACATTTTCCTAACAAGCTGTTTTACTGCTTTCGGCTCACGGTGACAACCGTTTAGGGTTTCATCCGATACGGTTTCTACAAAGTACTCTATAGTCTGGAAGTTACTAACATTTCCTGAAAAAATAAGCTGTTAGTGGTGACATCATTTTTTAATACGCTAACCGCCGCGGAGGTCACCGGTGACCTACGTTAGCGGAGGATTTGCTTTCAGCAGTTTTCTGCCGGCAGTCAAAGGCTTAAAATTAGTTCTATAGTTTCGAAGCCAATTTAAACTGTCAAACACCAAGCGGTTACCGGTGACCGCAACCTATTGTTCTTTAATTGTGCCTATAATGACGGTACTCAACGAGTTAATGTAAACAAACAATCAAATCTTTAACAAATACGACATTTATATCTCATTGAAATAATGGTATATAACACATTTATTTAAAAAAAATATCTCCCAATAGACTAAATGTGGGAGAGCCAAGAGCCAAACTTCAGCACGAATGGGCCGGCTCGACCGGAGGCCTCACAGAAGTCACAGAAAACCGAAGTAAAACAACGTTTATGTTGTATTTCGTGGTATAATTGAGGTTACCGGAGGCCCAATTACTCTCCTCTCCTCCCAAATCTCTCCAACATCAAATTCGTAATCCCCAAAAGGCCGATAATGCACTTGTAACTCCTTTGGTGTTGCAGCTGTCCATGGGCGACGCCGATTGCTTACCATCAGGTGATCCGTCAACTCGTTTACCGGCTAATCTCATAAAAACGACTTATTAAAATAATCATCATACCTAATTGAAATAACTAATATGTTATGATAAGTAAAAACGAATTTCCCCAAAATATGTCTTTACGTCTGTTCAGTGGGGACGTCATAGTCATACTAGATAAGTAGTCAGATTAACAATAACCTTGAACGCAACGGAATTAGGAAGCCTGCAAAAAATGCTGGTAAAAAATGAAACTGTCATTATGTATATGGACCTTTGAACGGCAATTACGAACAAAATATTATAAAATAGAGTCTATCTAGGATTGTAATGGCCGACTGAGATTTGTTTTAGAGCGAATATTTATATAACAGTCCTTGTTTCGTTTGTTGTCATAATGAGACCCTTATTCTCTCGCAAACGTATCTGTCTTCGTTTACGTTTGTAATTAGAATGGATGAAAGTATGTATTATGACAAAGCGGATGCCTGCAGAGTTGTCATTATGCGAATTTGTCGTTTTAAGAACTTGATATTGTGAGAAGTTGACGTTGTGTGTGATGATGATGAGTGATGAGACAGTCTTGCTTAGTTTGTCTTAACTAGCTTCTGCCAGCAGCATCACTCGCGTTTCCGTGAAGGATATAAAGTGGCCTATGTGTTCTAGACATCTATACCATAATCTACCCGTGTTCCTCTCTGTAACAAACACACACACACATACATCTTCACAAACATTTGTATTTATAATAATAAGTAATTATTTATTGATTAAGCTTTAATTCTGTTAATTTGTTAAAACCATGTTCGGAAATCTCTCAGTTCATCAGTGGATAATTCTTTGGTGTCTTACTTATTTACACTTACTAAAGTCTATCAAATATGGTTCAGCTATTTAGAATTAAAAGACATACTGCCATGCAAATTCACTTTCGCTTCAAAGTGTATCGAAATATGTTATTTATTTATGTATCTATACATAAAGTGAGGTATGTATGTATTGCACAGAATTTTTGTACGATAAGAATATAATATGTATAAAGATATCGTTATATTGAATGTAGGTAAGTGTTATCAAGAGCACGTGTGCCCAAGACTTTGAATTATTGGCTTATTGCGGCTGCGATAACTAATTGGACTGTGACGCTGTGATTGCGTTGTGTACATATACAATGTCAATTTATAAACAGTACTTGATTGGCCTGGATGATGTCGTGGTGGCCCGCAGGTTTAAGACGCCCGCTTCTCATGCATGAGGATGCGTGTTCTAAACCTACCAACGGCAAGTACCAATGTGACTTTTTCCGAGTTATATGTACTTTCTAAGATTATCTAGACACCAGTGACAAACGGTGAAGGATAACATCGTGAGGAAACCTGGACTTATAATTTCTTATTATAAGTTTGAAATCGTCAACCCGCATTGAGCAAGCGTGGTGATTGATGCTCAAACCTTCTCCTTGTGAGAAGAGGCCTTGCTCAGCAGTGGGCATTTATAAGCTGTTGATGATAATTACCTGGATAATCGAGCTTTGCTAGGGATTATTTTGGTGCATCATTATTTTTCTTTAGAACGAAAAAGGAAAATAGAAAACAGAAAAAAAATAAAAGAAATAATCAGACCGAGGATTGAACCCGTATGTCCCGCGAATATTTACGCGAAAGGCTGCCAATGCACCTTTAACTCCTCTTGTGTTCGATACGGAGCCGCGGAAGGACTAACGGGTTGCCGGGGCTCCGGCTCAAAGACCAGGAGTAGGAACGGGGTGGTGTTTAATCAGTAAGAGTCTGACACTCCCTCTCGCCTAACCAACGGCGGGAGAAGTCATTGGATGATTTTCCCCGTTCAAAAAAAACTCGTCTGGGGTTGCGGATTTCCTATTCCTTAAAAAAAAGATTAAATTGCACTATGTCTGAACTAGAAAATACAAATTATAAACCAAATTAGGTGTTCAGCCATTGACTGAATATTTTTTCTTTTACAGGGCACAGACGAACAGAAGATAATATACTCCGGTCAACTTTTAGACGACAACACAATCTTGAAGGACGTGCTTAGAACGTATGAGAGCCAGATCGCGCACACCATGCATCTAGTCTGCACGCCGACCCGCAAGGTGGAGCCACAGTCACCGGTCATAGAGCCGAACACTGACGGACTTCGCCGAAGAGTTGTCGAAGCTACGAACCAAACTGAAAGGGTCACTGAACCCCCAAGACCGGAGACAAGGCAGAACGACCAGAACCATAATGTCGAGATGCAGAATTATTTAACCTCTTTCGTGAATAACTATGGAAGGGTCCCCCCTTACCCGAATTATAATTTCGGTGAGGGTTATTTGCCAGTGCCTAACGACCCGGCCCAGTTGGCCAATCACATGATGATGATGCAGCAGGCTTACCTTCAATATATGCAACAGTATGCTAACATGTAAGTAAATTACAACCTTAATTTCTTTAGGAATAAGGCCTATATTATCCTATATTGCTCTGTCATTTAATTGATACTATAATCGATCAAAATGCAACCTTAAATGCTTTATTATTAGGTCCTGATTTGCTTGCCAGTTTTATTGTCTGTGGTGTTTGCTTGAATGGGTGTAATTTGATGCCAGGTATAGGATATCAGTAGGTAGTAGTCCTTTATGGCATTATTTACTTTAGACTTATAGACTGCCTTGTTTATTAAATGATATCTAGTCGCAAGAGTAAATGCAGAGTGTGGTGACGGTAACTTATACCTTGAAATAATAGATTGTAAGACAAAATTGTCATCATATTCGCATAACATAACAAAAACAGCATATATACGGTCGAATTGAGAACCTCCTTTTTTGAAATCGGTTTATAACGTTACGTCTTTTATCCCGGAAGGGTTAGACAGAGGTGCGTCCATATTACCCCACTTAACTCGTTGAGTACCGTCATTATAGACATAATTAAAGAACAATAGGTTGCGGTCACCGGTGACCGCTCGGTGTTTGACAGTATAATACCACTATACAATGTAACACCCACTCTTCACTATTTATGTTACGAGTCCCATGTAATAGGTAGTGAACCTTTTGCCATATACCGGGCACAATTCCAGACTCCGTGCGACTACTGAGAATTTAAAAAAAACCCAATAATACTTTGCCCGACTTGGGAATCGAACCCGAGACTCCTTGCCCTACAATCACACTGGTGACCACAAGGTCAATGAGGCACGCACAATACTATATTAGGTGGTATATAAATTTCATACATACTAATTATTTCACATGTAATACAGTTAGTTTACATTTCCATACAATCCAATAAATTTCAATGTCAAAGCGTAAAATTCTTTGTTCTATTAAACATTTGTTCAAAGAACACAAATTTATGGGTACAGTATTATAGGTATTTATTATTAAGTATACATACAATGATGTCACTCCGCAACTGGCTGACTTTGCCATCACCAAATATTATAGTATTTTTTTATGGCATAAGCCGGTAAACGAGCAGACGGATCACCTGATAGTAAGCAATCGGCGTCGCCCATGGACACCTGGAACACCAGAGGCGTTACAAGTGCGTTACTGGCCTTTTGAGGATTAGGAGTTTGAGCATTGTTGGGGATTCAGGAATTGGGGAGATTGGGGAAGGGGAGGGTAATTGGGCGTCCAGTAACCTCAATCACACGACGAAACACAAAGCAAGCGTTGCTTTACGTCGGTTTTCTGTGAGGACGTGGTATCACTCCGGTCGAGCCGGCCCATTCGTGCTGAAGCATGGCTCTCCCACACTTATTCAATTAAATCTAGATAGCGCCCAAGGCAAGCATCTCGCAGGCGCCCCTAAATTTTTTGACGCGCCGTCGTTCTATGGTCATGCGCGTCTCTTAGCGTCACGGCGCCCTTTTGTACCATGGAGCCCTAGGCCTAGTTTGCAGGAGTGGGCGGAAACTGACTCGAATAATGATGAGTGGATATTCTGTGCTACACTTGTATTGTGAACTTAACCTTGAATTTTGTTGCAAGTTCATAAATTCTATAACTTCCTGTTTATACAGTCAAACGTTTAGATATTACCCAATGTTGTCATTATTGTAATGTTACCTATTTATTACAACGGATTTTTTGACATTGAATATTACATCGATAAGTCTAACTCTAAAACATCTTAACTGACGATCTCCGGCCACCGTAGGCGCGGGCCTGCGGACGGCGAGCATGGGTGGCTCACCGTCCACAAAGAAGTCTGCTCAAAGAGCCCTCAGACCGCCACGGATGGGGCCCAATAGGGCTGATGCCGATACGGAGCCGCGGAGAACCTAACGGGTTGCCGGGGCTCCACCTCGAAGTGATGGAGTAGGAACGCGGTGGTTTTCAGTCAGTAAGAGTCTGACACTCCCTCCTACCTCACCCAGGCGGGAGCAGTCATTCGATGATTTTCCCCCATAAAAAAAACCATGTTAACTATATGATACCTAATTTCTAAGTAATTTTGATATAACGACATATACACATTCATTCGTACATGTTACAAGAATACAAATGGCGAGTACTCCACACCACACCGCTTCCAAGATTTATGTACCGAGGATAAATGAAATCTTTCATCTTCATTATTTTTAAATGTCTGCCACGAAACAATAGACCATCACAACGATTTATAAACTTAAACAAACGTTAATTATATTTGGCACGCTGCCTACTACGTATTTTAATAGTCTCAGGTAGTGAAAAAGTGTTTTGAGAAATTCAACCTTATTGCTTTGTGACAAGAACACACGGCCGTGTTACTCATAGCTAAAATTAACAGCGTGGGTCGGTTATTAAGTAATTTTGAAACGATATTTTTACAATATTTTAATGTGGCTCCTTAGTTGGTCATTAGCGGTTTTTTTTATGGGATAAGTCGGTAAACGAGCAGGCGGATCATCTGATGGTAAGCAGTGGCACCTCTCAAAGACACCCACAACGCCAGATGCGTTACAAGTGCTTTGCGACCTAATGGGGGTACAAAATTATTCAAATCGGTTCAGTAGCTTTAGAATTTAGCGCGTTAAAACAAAAAACTCGTCAACGTTATACATATCTTAAGTAAAATATTTAAAGTAGTATCTGCCCATGGCTTCGCCCGCGTTCATCATCATCATCATCATCATCAACAGCCTATAAATGCCCACTGCTAAACAAAGCCTCTTCTCACACGGAGAAGGTTAGAGCATTAATCACCACGCTTGCTCAATGCGGGTTGGCGATTTCAAACTTATAATTAGAAATTATAAGTCCAGGTTTCCTCACGATGTTTTTCCTTCACCGTTTGTCAGTGGTGTCTAAATAATCTTACAAAGTACATATAACTCGGAAAAAGTCACATTGGTACTTGCCGTTGGTAGGTTTTGAACCCGCACCCTCATGCATGAGAAGTGGGCGTCTTAAACCTCCGGGCCACCACGACACAGTTCGCCCGCGTTCCAGTGCAATAAAAAGTAGCATATGTGTTATCATAATCTACCCCTGTTCATTTCAACCCAATCCCTTCAGCCGGTTTGATTGATTAAGTGACAAACATACACATTAATATTTTGACTTGTTTCGGACTTTGAAAGACTTATTATTTTTACAGGTGGCAAGCCGCAGGTGCTGCCCCGGCCGCCCCAGCCCCAGCCGAAACGCCGGCCCCGGCTGCCGAAGCCCCGGCCGCCGTGGACGAGCAAGATGAAGCTCTAGCCCCCCGTGATTGGCTCGACCATCTGTACGCAGCCTCCAGACTAGCGATATTGTTCTCTCTGGTCTACCTGTATGGAAGTCCTGCCAGACTGTTGTTGGTGCTCCTATTGGCTGCTGCTGGTTATCTGTGAGTATTCGATAACATCGTATTATATTTTTTACTAGCTTTTACCCGCGGCTTCGCTCGCGTCACAAAAGGATAAAAAGCCAATGTGACATATACCAATACACACAGCGCCATCTATACCAATATTTTTGTTTTTCCTCGGGAATATCAAATTATTTCGGGATAAAAAGTACCCTATTATTTAATCCGGACTTCTAACTTTACGTCTGCAAAAATTCAATGCAATCGATTTAGTAGGTATGGCGTGAAAGTGGAACAAACAAACAAACTCACTTTCAGATTTATAATATTAGTAAGGATTATCAATACATAGTATAAAACAAAGTCGCTTTCGCTGTATGTCCGTATGTATGCTTAGATCTTTAAAACTACGCAACGGATTTTGATGCGGTTTTTTTTAATAGATAGAGTGATTCTTAAGGAAGGTTTGTATGTATATACATCTTGCACCCGTGCGAAGCCGGGGCGGGTCGCTAGTATATTATATAGTAAGGATAAATTTAAAATCTTAAAGGAAGGTTTATACGTATAAAACATGTGTATTGCACCTGTGCGAAGCCGGGGCGGGTTGCTAGTACATTATACATTAAATGTCTTAACATGAAGGCAACGATGATGACTTATTATTCTGTTATTTTAAACTAACCGCTGGTCTCAGAGACAACTTCAAGGGCACTTTTGAAATGATTGAATTAATCACTTAATTGGTAGCTGCTCGTTCTTTACTGTAGATTCATATGAAGAAGATTCAGTAGTTCATAGCACAAGTTTGAAATTGTGCACAGTTTTTGCTAATGTTCACATGTGATTTGAGCAAGCGTGGTGACTGGTTATTAATGCTCAAACTTTCTCCGTGTGAGAAGAAACCATTGTTCAGTAATGGACATTTATAGGCTGTAGATGATGATGACACATTTTTACTAAAAGAACAGGTCAGGCATCATCAGGCTGCCTCGTTGGCCGAGTGGTCGCAAATGCAACTGCTGGGCAAGGGGTCTCGGGTTCGATTCTCGGGTCGGGCAAAGTATTACTGGGTTTTTTCAGAAAATCTCAGGAGTAGCACGGAATCTGGAATTGTGCCCGGTATATGGCAATAGGCTCACATTACATGGAATTCATAACATAAATAGTGAAAAGTGGGTATACATTGTACAGTGGCATTAAGTGCTGTAATGTACACCTCTAACTACCCCTTCGGGGATAAAAGGCGTAATGTTATGTTATGTAACAGGTCAGGCAAAACTTACTCAAAAAAGTTAATCTTCACCTAACAAATCGTTTTCAATTCCAGGCACCAGATCGGTTTCTTCCGCGATCTTCACGTGAACCCAGCAGACAACCAGCGTCGTGAAGCGCCCAACCAGAATCAACCCAACCAGCCTAATCAGCCCAACCAACCGAATCAGCCCAATCAACCGAATCAACCCAACCAACCAACCGAACATTCACCTCAACCAACACAACCAACCTCCCAGTCCATTCTAGCAGTCACTTGGATGATATTCACATCATTCTTCGCTTCACTCATACCTGACACAAACTAATATACAATTGTAGTTTTTCGAGGAGTTACTCAGTCGTCGCGACGTAAAAATATATTTTATAGGAATGCTGAAAGCAAAAAACGGTTTTATGGACCCTCGGGGAGTGTAACGGCTCTTATATAAGGTTTCCTGGTGAAGGTGACGTTAACGGGCCGGTCTTTTCGGCCCTGAACCGTTTAAGGGTCTTTAAAAACTCAAGAAATTTTCGTTTTGTTTTTATATGGTGACTGTGTGGTAATGTCCGTTGCTGATTGGTCGGTTAGTCTAGCCCAGTATCTTGTTAATGTCATTTTGACAGCTAGTATGGACTGTCAAGACTTAAAGCTTTGCTAACGCCATCTAGTGAGGAGAAATGACATCATGAATTTGTTTTAAATTTTTGTTGAGGTTTTGTGCGTTGTCTACTAAATAATTTGAGTTATTTCTTTTTTTGTTCTTATATAGTACTAGTAAAAATACTTTGGTATGAATAGGTGACGGATGATGAGGAATTGATCAGTCTATACATATTGGATGGGGCTTTCATTTAGATATATTGAGAGAAAAAAACCCAAAGAAATTTGCACATAAACGTATGGTCGTCTTGTTTTTCAAGATCATGTAACTTGTGACTTCATTATTATTATTTTTTCATTGGATATTGTAACCATTTACCATAATGTAATTTGATTACACCGATTCTCTCTAAACATCATCCTCTCATACTAATAGAAAAAGAAAGAGAGAAATAACGAAGTGAAAATTTTTATAATTCTCTATCTCTTTCTAATCCTTTTTATTAGAAAGAGAGGACAAAGTTTATGAAAACTATGGTTCTTAAACTTACCAATGGTGGAGTTAAGTTGCTATTAAATTATATAATATCATCTTAACAAAGAACTGTTCGTAAGGAATTGCATCATATTAGCTCTTAGCGCCATCTGGTGAGAGAAAAAAAACGATAGTTTTCATTTAGGAGAGGCGGTTCAAAGTAAAAATGAATGAATGATGTCCTTTTAATTTATTTACTAAAGCTATACTTTGCTAGTGACGAAATTCCTGCCTTTTTTTTGAAGGGGTAGTCATCTTCTCCCGCCGTAGGTGAGGCGAGAGAGTGTTTTTACTGACTAAAAACCACTCTGTTCCTTGTTTTATGGAATAGGAGGCAAACGAGCAGACGGATCACCGCCCATGGACACTCACAACACCAGAGGAGTCACAGGTGCGTTGCCGGCCTTTTAAAAAGCAATACGCTCTTTGAGCTGGAGCCCCAAACCCGCTAGGTCTTCATTAGTTCCGGACTATCTAAGACCTAAGGTCTTAAGGATTGAGTAGACCGCATACAAATGCTTAAACGTGCACAAACCATTAAATCAATTGAATAATTTTATCGATATTTTCTTGTATGAGATCATAAGCTCTAAAATGCTTTGTTTAGAGTTTAAAATTGTACAGTCTTGGTACATATTTATTAGAGGAGGGTGGGAGGGAAAACCATCGAACTGACACAGTCGAATATCTTAAATAGATTTTGAATCCAACTTTAATGTTTTTGTAATAAAATTGAAAATCTATTGAAGATATTTGATCAATTTTTTCAATCAACTCCAGTGATGTGATATTTAATTGACAGTGATTTTGAACTTTATGCCTTTACTATACGCCCTACTTTAACCGCAGATATACCCGAGCAATTCGTGGAAGCTATCATGTCATTTATTTTAAAAAGAATAGAGTTGAAATTCGTCTGGCAGTAATTTCTTTACTAGCAAAGTTTGTCGATGTCAGTGAATGATCGTTTGTATATAGTAATGGAATGTTTAACTGTAGTTTACTTATAACCCTATTTATAATAATACACTACTACTAGTGAGATATTTAAATTTATAGTTTTTAGTATATTTTTCCTTGCTGTACATATTTTAATGTAAAAAATAAACAAAATATCTTTTTATAATAACTATCGTGAGACATACTAAAATTAAAAATCGGGTTACTCACGTGAATATACTGAGAAAAGCTCTAATTGTTTCGAACCACAGAGGGGTTCTTCTACTCGCAGTAGGCTGCTCGACATCGTCGCGCAAGCTGCTCATGAGGAAGAACCCCTCTGTAGTTCGAAACAAGTAGAGCTTTTCTCCGTATATTCACGTGAGTAACCCGCGATTTTTATTAAACAAAATATCGATATTTTTGGGTAATGTCGCGACTCAATTTTACTAGGGATGGGCAATATCTTTATCGATATGTACCCATCTGTGATTGATAAATACGATGGCCAATCACGTTTCCTAACTGTAATTCAAGAGAAGAATTTTGACAGCTTTTTTACAGTAAAATATGTGAATAATGTAATGGAAACAATGCATAGTTTTTAATTTAAAATTCGGTGTACTGAAGTGAAACCAAATATTATTTTGTAAATACTTACTCTTGATAATTTTAGTGTTATGCCACATAGATATAAAGTTCATTATTGAATAGCAGAGCAGTTAACGCTTTTTGGCGATGACCAGTTAATGAAATGCACTGATTGCTGTTCCAGTTACAGTGCCCGGCGTTAAATATAGCATATCGACTTATGAAACGAGATAATTATGTGTGATATTACAATCATTTATTTGTAAAGACTTTGTTTTTCAATCTTATTATGATTTGAGGAGAGTGATTGACTAGTTTTAGCGACATACGCGGTAACTTCACCGATTGTCTCCTCCGAAAGGTCGATGTGCAACATTTATTGCTGGACACTGTACAAACCCTTCTATTAATGTACGGTGAAATCAGGATAATAGACATGTAACATATAAAATAAGTATGAATTGTATTAGAAATGGTACAAAATCGTTATTATTATTACAAAGTCGTAATATTTTTGACAGGCCACTGCGTCTTATGACTAAGACCCCGAGCCTTAAATTAACCTATTGTTTTACTGCCAATATCAATAATGTATTACGGATCCTAAATCAAAAGTATTAAGATCGATTTTTGCCTGAAACTCCATACAAATTACATCAAAAGTCACACGAAGCGTTTCGCAGCAAGCTTCCTTGTGCGTACTGCTAAGGAGTGGAATTCTTTGCCAGAGTCTGTATTTCCTGAATGGTATAACCTGGGTGTCTTCAAAGCCCGAGTGAATAGATTGCTTGGGTCAACGTGCACCATCGTAGACCGCATCATCACTTACCACTAGACGAATAGTGGTCAAAAGGCCTATCGAATATAATATAAAAAAACACAGATTTTGATTTGGATAGGCTATTGAAATTAGCAGTTAGTCTGTAGGTACTAATCTTTATCTACTTTAGTTACTGGTTAGAATTAAAATAGTTATGTGTTTATTGGATAGTCCATTTATTGAAGTCTATAAGCTATAAAACCGCTATGATAAGAGCTAGGAAAGGAGAACTTATGTTTGCAATGAGTATTTAAATTACTACTGAACTGGTTACTAACGGGAAATGGGCTAGGAAAGTCCTCGAGAGCATCGGATCGGAAAACGTAGCGTGGGCAGGTCTCAGGCTAGGTGGACCGATGACATCTTCAGAGTCGCGAGGAGCCAGTAGATACAGGTGGACAGCTTGTCGTTCGATGTGGAGTAAGGTCCTTTGTCCAGCGGTGGACGTCTTCCAGCTGTTGATGACGATGGAATCGATTCTAAAAATTATTTCTTCAGTTGAAAGTTACATTATATATTTATCCTATTTGAAAAAATCTATAACATGGCGATATTTGATTTCTATTGGTACTTCGTTATAGAGATGTGGTCTGTCAGAAATATCGATATCGATACTGTAGTATGTAATGTTTCCTCTAATTTACAAATTCTATGTTCGTTTAATTTTTATTCAATCTGTATATAATATTCTTTAGCATTATGTTACATGAATCATAGTACCTATACACAAGTGTCACGGGAATTCAGAGAATGAAAAAATAACCGGCCTCAATTCATAATCTTTAGTTTTAATTAATTTTTTACCTTAGATCAATGGGTTGAAGTCGGTTATTAAATAGTCTTAAGTTGGTCATACAAAGTGATTTACCTGCATTTCATTCTAACTTAGTTTTCGATTCATAGTTTTTATTCACACTAGGACTTGCTCGTGGCTTGAATGCGTTTACAAATGTACAATTTTGTTCATGTCATACTCAGACCAGGAACAACAATTTGTGGGTGACGCAGAGTCATATTATACCTAAGACAAATGAAGCAAGTGCCTAGGACGACAGTTTACAGACGGGCACCGCAAAACACGCGTGGCTATGAGGTCTAATCCGCCTTAAACATACCGTGAAATCTATTTCTATTTCGTCCCTCGGCAAAACTATTTGTCATAAGGAGTAGAAGTACTTTCTATGTATAGTATAAAGTAAAAATTACAGTTTATTTTTGGTTTAAAAATGTTTCATGAAAACACGCACATGAAACACTAGACGTAAATTTGTAGACACTATTCGCATCGCACGTGCCACCCGACGAGAAATACCTTTTCGAGAATTACATGGTATGATGTTTTGATAATGTACTATGAGTTCGTATGCTCTTTCGATGTTTACTTTTTGCAATGGTTCACCAGTTAGTTTAGTTTTAAACATTTTGTTTCTTTGTAAAATTATTGTGTTCCCAAGACAGATCCATTTTACTTCGGGACGGAAACGAAATGGATTTCACGGTATATATTAAACAAATTAAGGGTGCCGATGAGGTACTTGCCTAAGATGCTCTCTGGGTATAATTCGGCTCTGGAATTACACAAAGAGTCGCTCCGTGAGATGAATCGCCTACAACTTATGAGCGAACGAAGTTGTATGTGCATTACCTTTATCATACTAAGTACATTTTAGTAAGACTTCTTCAAATTTTGAATGGTTTCTTTATTATTTCATAATTATGGATATTATATTGTTTGATTTCTTCGAAAATATTATAGAACAGTTAAGTTAGAAGTACCTATCTATATTTTGGAGTGTTAAAATTTATATGTAAAACTATTTTATCGTGTATTATGTTCGCGACTTTTTTGTATGATAACTATCGTGATAAAATGAAAAAGCTGCTTGCGTAACTGATTTGATCATGGTCGACTGGTTTCAAGCGAAAATAGGAGCTCATAATCACATAATTATGAATGTAGTCGACCACTCTCGAATCAGCAACTGTAGCCAAATGCCATTTAGCGCTTGTCTACTTGTAGAATAGAAAACCAAATTATATGTAATTGACGTCCATTTTGACACTTGTCAGTGTCATCGCCATACATTTAGTTTTCTACTCTCTCTGTAGACAAGCGCTAAAGTGGCGTTTGGCTAAAGGCGGATACGAGAGTAAACGCAGAACTCGGAGTCATTAAATTGTTTCTTAGCAATTGTTTTCGAAACAAAGTCGTCACTAGGGAATGGTTTAAGTAATCATTAAATGTCTATGATTTTGATTATCCTAATGGGGGCTAACGTATTTTACTCACTAGATGGGGCAAGTGTAGGACGAGGCTTTTTTGTCCAATGGCAGTAGCTGTCAATATGGTGCGACGCTAGCTAATTCCCCATTGGTCGAAGAACTAGAGGTTCACACTAGCGACATCTGTTGGGAAAAAATACAGTAGGGCCCCATTAGGTTCTCTACTTTATTATGTAATTATAAAACTATGTTCATATATTGTCAGATGAGTCTAAGATGGAAGGAATTTGAAGTGAAAAATGTTTTTGTTTTGTATCAAGATGATTTCATAAGGGTTATAGTAAAACAATTTTAGTTGTCATTTCTCATAAACGCGTGAACTTCAAATAATGTAGACAGTTAATTTTTGAAGCTTATATCTGTGATTTTAAAATATATAATTGTACTAAACTTTTTGGCTTTTTATTTGTGTGTGTCCTTGTACCTATATCTGATCAAGTGATTAATGGTAATACTTACGTTAATTTTTATGCATGGAGAAGACCATAAAATGAGTTTTGTTAACATTTAATGTTATCAGGTTAACAGAGAGCCACTCCATCACTTTAGATAAGAAGTATTCGGCCGTTTCCTTAACCATTTTCCAGTTTGAACCCCAAACAAGTATGGCGGTGTCATCTGCATAGGTAAAAATTTTAGTACTTGGAAGAGTAATTTGGCAGAGGTCATTGATATAGATCTAAAAAGGGTAGGGCCAAGAATACTCCCTTGTGGCACGCCATTACTGACTTCGGCCCCGTCACTTTCATGACTTCCTATTTTCACTTGCTGTTTTCTATTTGTTAGGTAGTGTTCAAAAATGTTGTGGGTGACACCTCGTGCGCCCAATTTATTTAATTTGGCAAGGACAGAGACCGTGTCAAAAGCTTTAGAAAGATCCGGTAATATGCACAGTAAAAGTGTAACAAACACTTTCGTGAGACATATTAAATTAATTATTAGGTCTTTCAGCTTACACACGTAATTATTTAACGAGGAAGTCGACTAGTTTCAAGCCATGCTAGAGGCTCATATTTAAACTTGAAACTACGTGAAAATAAATAATTACGTAAGCCAAAAAAATTACCAAAGACTTCTGAAAACCGTACCGATGGTAACCGAACCGATTTTGAAATCGGTTTCGCCAATCGCGAGATAATCGCGCACAAACATACATACACGTATAGAGGTATATTTTTATATTTGAAGAGCCGACGTTTGACCACTATCTAGCCTAGTGGTAGGCGATGATGCGGTCTATGAAGGAGCACGCAACCTATTTACTCGGGCCTGCCTTGAAGACACCCAGGTTATACCCTTTAGGAAATACAGACTCTAGCAAACAATTTCACTCCTTAACAGAACGCACAAGGAAGCTTGATGCGAAGCGCTTCGTGCGTTTGGGTGGGACATCTACCATGAATCGCTATACAGGTCAAACTGAGAAATTCCTTCTTTTATGAAGTCTATTAAAAATCGCACTATGCCCTTTTATTTATACAGTGAATTTCGTAAACTTATCTATACTTATGATAAATCTGTACAGAGGTCAATTAATTCTGTACATGAAATACATTTCCAAAATAACTATCAGGGGGTGATTAGTGATCGATACTAATGCCAAAAAAGCAATCAGTAATTTTTTTGTCTGTCTGTATATATTCCTTATAGAAATAAAAACTACTCGACGGATTTTAACGAAACTTGGTACAATTATTCTTCATACTCCTGGGGAGGTTATAGTGTACTTTTCATCACGCTACAATCAATAGGAGCAGAGCAGTGAAGGAGTGTTGGGAATTTTTTAAGCTTCCGTCGCGTGAGCAGGCAGTTAAACCTACATAGAAATTATGCATTACGGAAATGTTCTACATAAAATTAATATCCATAATATCCCACAACAGCACACGTCTATGTTTTACGGTTGACTCACAAAAACACGTGTAACTCCCGATAGGTAGCTCAGCAGTTCGGAGCTATCTGCTTATATTTATTTACTCTTACGTTTACAATACTCATCCATAGACTTTACGCTGTAACTGTAGGGCCGATGGTTGAAATTAGCTTGACCCGATAATATAAATGTGAGTTTATTTGTTGTATTTTTTTTTTTAAGGCGGGAAAATCATCGAATGACTGCTCCCGCCTGGGTGAGGCGGAAGGGAGTGTCAGACTCTTACTGACAAAAACCACCCCGTTCCTTCTCCTGCACGTCGAGCCGAAGCCCCGGTTACCCGTTAGGTTCTCCGCGACTCCGAATTGGCATCGGCCCTATTGGGCCCAATCTGTGGTGGTCTGATGGCTCTTTGAGGCCCGCGCGGAACGCGACGCGCCGTACGCTCGGGTCTGTTTCTGATCGGACGGGGAGCCACCCATGCTCGCCGTCCGCAGGCCCGCGCTTACGGTGGCCGGAGATCGTCCCGCGATCCCCGACGCCCGGTGTGTCCTTCGCGATGGCTGGGTTGCGAGGAGGCAGCGCTTAAAAATGTGGAACGCTTCACGATTTTGCGTGTCATCCTTGCGCAGGGGCCATACTAATCTTCTCTATATCGTTCCAATTTTAGTATATGTATTGCCGAAGCAAGTACTCGTTGTGTGTATGTGTGTTACTCAGTCATATTAAAACGACTGAAGGGACCGGAATGAAATTCGGAACAGAGGTAGATTATGGTCTGAAGTAAGTAATACATAGGCATTTTACGCCTGGGATCGCGGGCGAAGCCGCTGGCAGAAGCTAGTAAATAAATAAAAGAACAATATCAATAAATACCGAGTTTATTGTCAAAAGTAAACAATATACAATTAGAATGATTCAGAAATCCTCGCTAAAATCTACATCCATCATATCATCTAACACTTCCTCAGCTATTTTTGTATCCTTATCTAAATTCTGTATTTCCTGCACTATATTTTGTGATGGTAAATCTTCGCGTACATTTTGTTCAAAATTATCCCCTATACTTTGTCTTTCAACACTTTTATTGCTATTATCTTCAACATCTGGTGTAATATCTTCATTTTGTATTGTAACTGGAGTATTATTTCCTACATTCTCTTCAGCACCATTAATTTCAATAACATCATCAACATTTTGTACATTTTCAGTAATATTTGTACTATTTTCGTCATCTATAACAACTATCTCTTTGCTTTTATCATTAACTTGGTTTACAGTTTCAGTCTGGTCTTTAATTTCGATTATTTCTTCTGTATTTACAATTGGCTTAGGATTACTACCTGTAACAGCGTCTTGTATAACGATTATTTCTGTTTCTGGTACTGAACTATTATCATCAATAATTTCTTCAACTAAATCGTCAGTATTATGACTTCTTACGACATTACTTGGTTCCCTACCATCATTGATTACAATTACATCATTATTTGCTTCGCTATGTTCCATATCATAGTTTCTATCAGTCTCTTTACCAAGATCTTCATCTAAATCTTTACTTGCAGCATTACTAAGTCCATGCACATCTACCATAACAGCTTCTTGAACATTAGTGACGTCACAATCGTCATCCGAACTATCTATGACATTTGATCTATTTTTCTTTGTTACATGATTATTTTCTGGTTCTTCATCTACTTCAATAATTCTACTAATATTGTGGGCAGTGGTTTCTTTTGTAATTTCTGTAGAATTTTGTTTTAATCGCGCTAAGCGCCTCTCTTCAGCTAGTTTTCTGTTTCTAATCATTCTTTCTTTTTGTTCGTCGCTTATAGATGGCGATGAGGTTGCTTTCGGCATTGTGAATGGTGATCTGTGGATGACGAATTTGAGTTAGAGGATTGTAATAAAGCTGAGACATATTATAATATAAAAAAGCACAGGCTGTTTGCCGTGCCCTCATATCGTACTGTTGCACACGCTAATTTTGGCCGCGCTCAATGATCACCTAGAATTCAATCCAACTAGTGATCTGTATGTGGACGGATGGAAGGACATTTTATCAGAATGCTTAAAGAACTGCGAGAGAAACTTATGAATTGTGTTAACTCTTGTTTTAATTAAGTTTTACTTTTCTTTATCTTGTATTTATGTTTTATTGTTGTAAATATGTCAGTTACTGTAATTGGGTTTTCTGCCGTTGTTACTGTTTAAAAATAAATAAATACTCTATCTCAGAAGCGGATTAATCTTTTTTTTTTGGAAATACTGCAATATAGAATAACATACCTAACTAAACTTGATACTACAATATACATACAGCTTGGCAAATTATTGAGGTCGCTAGTATCAAGCCTGTGGCAACTTGGTATACAACGCTGATTAGTAGTATGTATCCCATAATTAAACAATCATCAGATATGATATTATTCATGGGATATGGTCTGCAGTGTAGTGGGTGATTCAGTCCAAGTCAATCTTAGTTCCTGCTCTCACCACTTTTTATTGCCAAACTGTACAATCAATGCTACCTGTCTTATTAGTGTGACTGCCTGGCAAGAGATCGCGGGTTCGATTCCCGGGCCGGATATGTTGGTTTTGGTCCATTTTTCGGTTTCCCGAAAATTCCTCAGCAGTACAATAGTAGCACGGAGTGTAGTATCGTGCCCGGTATATGGCAATAGGCTCACCCACTATTACGTGGAACTTATAACATAAAATAGTGAAAAGTGGGTGTTACATTGTACAGTGGCATTAGGTGCCGTAATGTGCACCTCTGCCTACCCCGTCAGGGATAAAGACGTGATATAACTACCCCGTCAGGGATAAAGACGTGATATAAAAAAAGATATAATATGTCACCGGAAAATAAACCTAAATAAACATAAGTTTATAAACTTAGGAAAGTTATAGACTTACGGTTCTTGTTATTTTCTATTGACAAAATTATATACCATCAATAAGTTCTACCTCCGTCTATTTTTAAGTAATCCTAATACAAAAAAACTCAACCTGTTATTTTCTAGTGACAAAATTATATACCATCAATAAGTTCCACCTCCGTCTATTTTTAAGTAATCCTAATACAAAAAAACCCAACCTGTCTTGCAAAGGAGTAGCAGGAGTAGGCATGGTCTTCTTCACAGAGCCTGGAGCAGGTGTAGCTCTAGCCAGGTCGATTTGTTGCTGCAACAGCTTGTCAAACTCATCCTCTTCCTGAGGTGGCTGTGTTTCCTCGTCACTGGAGTCCTTTTGAACCACTGTCTCTTCAGATAAGAACTGGTCTGTGCGAATTTTGTGTAGGTGAACCTGTGTGAAAAGTGTATTTTAAAATATAAAAGCATATATACGGTCGAATTGAGAACCTCCTCCTTTTTTTGAAGTCAGTTAATAAAAGGAGAGGGTTCTGTTTATGGCAAATCAAATGCAGGATGCATAACAGTGTGATAAACTCATTTAGATAGATCTTTAGCTAATAAAACTTAATAACCAAGTATTAATTGCTCACTTTAGTCAGGGTCAAAAAATAATTTAAAGATCTAAAACATATATTTGTGTTATACATGTTAAAGTAAAGGGCTGAATGTGGCAAGAACAACCACAGTTTGATTGTACAGACAAGAATACCAAGCTGTTCACATCCTTCCAATTTTTTTATTTACTGCCTCTTAAAGTAGAGTTTCAACCTTACTGCCTTACAACAGAAAGTTGAAAATACATGTAAATACTAATTATACATAGTGTAATAGAATCTAACGATTTTTTTGGCTGAATAACGTAAATGAAGCAAAAGGATTCATTTTCCAACCACTGTAGCTGTCAAAAATTGAACTACTAATGGTGTGACAGTAGCTAATTCCCTATTGGACGAAAAGACGAGAGGATTTCACTAGCTCCATCTAGTAAGCAAAAAGCGTAAGTAAGTAATCCCCATTGTCTTACCATAACTGGCTTCTTTTTGCCGAGAGTCTCGATCTTTTTTAAACAGTCTTCAAACTGAAACTTTGGGTACAATCTATACGCCCAATGTTCCAATTTCTTTAACACCAAATCTAGATCTTCTTTTTCGTGTCCTTTGCCTGGAAAATTAAGAAATACTTAACAAATTACTCTGCATTTTATTTTCTATGAAGAAGACGAGCATTATTACAAACAAAATAAAAATGCAATATTTCATTAGGACAAGCTTTCACATCATTTGCTAAGCATTTATAGTCATACTGACTGTTGTGTTAGAATCTGTTTGTATGTGTAAGTATGTTTACTAAATACAAACATGTGTGTGCTATCATAAATATTAAGAACATATTTAAATCAGTGTAGTACCTACAACCACATACTTTTCTCACCTAAAATACCTGCAAGGAAAAGTGAACCTTAATACTTTAACACTGACTAAACATTTCAGTTTAATTGGTTGAAGTAACATCAACAAAATTTTTGGGTTTAACAATAGACCAAAATCTGAACTGGAAAGCTCATATAGAAAAACTTGCGAAACAATTAAGTAATAGAGCATATGCTTTACACAGATTGTCTCAAACAATACATATAAACACGTTATTAATTGCGTACTACGGATTAGCTGAATCTATTCTCCGTTACGGGATCATTTTTTGGGGCAATTCAGTGGAATGGGCAACCATTTTTAGGGCACAGAAAAGATGTTTGAGATCAATGTTTACACTTAAAGTTACTGATAGTTGCAGGCCATACTTTGAACAGTATAGGATTCTCACAATGCCATCGTTATACATTCTCGAAATAGTTTTATTTGTTATGTATAATTCTCATTTATTTCCGCGTCTTGAGGATAAAACTCAGCGCAACAGGCGTGATTACACAAAACTTTGTCTTCATCCTTGTAAGACCGCGCTTATGCGCAGAAATGTATTTTGCATGGCACCTATAATATTTAACAAATTGCCAAAATCATGGAGAGAACTAGGTGCCAACCATATCAAGCGAAAGCTTAGACTTTTTTTATTACAGAAGGTCTACTATAGTGTCACCGAATTCTTAAATGACACAGTTATTTGATTGAAGTAAGACATGGCTATTATTTTATAAATTATGATTATTTTATTGGTTGTGATTGTTTCATTGGTTATGTGATTCTTACTATGAGTGTGACATATTGTACGAATTTAATTATGACATAACTGTATCTATAATTTTAATTTTGACATACCTACCTACATACAATTTTATTTGACATTTATAAATATTTAACGCTGATAATATGATTATTACTTACAAAAAAATTTGCATGCCATGACAAGTGGTAAACATGTATTAAGTACAATTGTTCTATTTTTTATCATCCTACATACATGCACCTGCGTGTGTGTGTATGTATACACATGTTTTTGCGAATAAATTTGATTTGATTTGATTTGATTTGAAGATATCTGCTTCAAAAGTCAGTTGCAAGATTTCATTCCACAGACATGCACATGTATTAAGTACATTGCAAGTTAATTAAAAACTTTGTAATAATAAGACAACTTACCCTTAAACTTGAAATCTTTGAAATGTTCTGGTATGATCTGTATGCCTCTAGGTCCTGTCAGCCGCGCCGGGTTCAATAAGAACCTTGGATTCTTTGTTACTCGTTTAGCTTTAGTTGAAGTGGGATCCACTCGCCTTTTGTCCTCCTCTGTATAATTATAATTTTACAGTTAATATACAAAAATGTAAATTTAATGGTCACCAGATGGCAGATGAAGTCTTAAGAATAAAATGTAAATTACGAAAATTTATTTGACGTTACTATTTGTCTTGTAATATAACTATTTGTATTTATAGGCTAATTGGATTTGTATTCAAGAAAACCGGAGTATGTAGAGGTTAGGTCTAATAAGCCACAATAATACATTTGTTTACAAATATAGAATTTTAAGTGAGACTTTTTAATTAATTACCGTACCTGCTTCATCTTCTTTTGGTTCATTGTCATCGCTAGTTGGTGAAACTGAGCGTGAACGAGGTCTTTCATCGTACTCGTCGCCTTCTATCACTCTTTCCAGCTCTTGAGCTTCATCCGCCTCATCTTGTAAAAATATATCCTCCAGTAAAGACATTAATTCGCATTTATTAACGTCGTACTCAGTATAAACCTGAATTATAATCTCAAAATCAATCAATCTTTGCTATAATTTTGACAAGTCAATATTTAGCGGGAAAGATGTTTTTATTTTTTATGGATTCGTTTAGAATCGTAATGCCATAAATTACAATTAATGCTAAAAATAAATCAAAGATGTTGTAGAATTATGGCATTAATCACTTAGGCACATATTTTTCTGAAATTTTGATATATTTTTATTTTGTTTATGTAATTTTAATTTATTCAACACAAATAGTACAAAATCCAATCGCTTTGATTTTTCGACGAATTTTTTTACCTGTGGAACGCCCTAAGTAGTGCTGCGCTTTCGCTTTTCGATTTAGATCGGTAAATTAAGTAACGGTTATTATTTATGACGGTTGAGCGTAATTTTATACAGTCTAATTTAGATTTCCATACCGATACCGACCATAATAATACACAATAAGTACTAGACCATTTATTACACGTTAAGTACTAAACCATATGATACTCATTAAGTAAATAAATCTAATCTATGAAATTATATAAACGCATTATAACAGAGTAAGGGTTCGCATTGTCAACTTCTTCAGTAGTATAATCGTAAATTTTTATTCCTTTAAGAATGGCGCCAAAAATAAAACGACATGTTTGTTAGTTCATGAACGTAAACTAACCTAAATACAAACTACAAGACATTACAGGAAATATTTGCGTCCTTTTGTACTTTTTACAAAATATGACTACATCATGTGCGTTTAGATAAATTTATTTCAAGCAAATCAAGTATCAATAACAAATCATATTTACAATTTATTTTAACTTGCAACCCTCGGTCTTACCGGTTTATTTACAGATAATTTACAATTTAAAAATATACATTTAAACTCTAAAGCCATAAAAATACATTTCTTTTTAGTCCACTTCATATTTCAAAGCTACCAGGTTTGACATTAAATCAAAAACTTCGCTTAAAACTGGCCATTCTGTAGACGATTACGATTTTTTCTAGTAATGTCCCATCCCTAGAAAGTCACGTGACCAGCTTGCGTTTGAGCGCACTAACAGGTATGGAAATTAGTAAATTTTATTAGAAATTTAGTTATATTTTCGACATTATTGTAGAAATAAGGTAAATATTAACGTTGCGCTAAAATTGAGTGATCATGTGCGTGGAAATAAGGTGATAAATGGTGCTGTGCACGGTTATTTCGTCAACAAAGACTGTCATTTTGATACCAAGAAAGGTGCTTCAAGAATGGCGTCCCCCACATGTGCCGCTGGCCTATTGAGTTTCGTCTTGGCGGTGCTTGAATCTGATGACGTGAGCTGTTGAAATGGCGTGAAACAGCTACTGCATGAGGTTTCCGGCAGTGTTCCGGTAGAATAATGACGAAAATTTCGTGGTTCATACGGTGCCCTTGCACTGCCACTTTCAATGATTCATTGTTCCGAATTTTGCGAAATATTACGGAAAAAAACGGCACAAATCATTGTTTTAGACGTTACTAAAGCTTAATTTAGTGTAGTAATTAGTCATTTTGTGTGTTTTGATTAGTAAAATAGTGATTTTTTCGAGATCCGCCCATTTGTTTTGTTTACCATTTTACCGCTCTCACGACAGCCGGAGTACGATAACTTTCTTTTTAACTTTGTTATCATTGTTTTCCTTGTAGGTGAGTAGTAGAATTCGTTCGCTCCAGTCATGTTTTAAGAATTTATCGTGTAGTGATCATAGACGCTGGTAGGTTATTTGAATGCACTTCCAATTTGCAAATTGGGCGTTCACGAAATGTTTTTCCGTGAATCTAGTCGTGGTATTTAATTTTCAACCTCTGTAGTCCTGAATACTAACGATTGATGCTCAAATTCTACTATACTTTTACTAATGTGTTTATTTAGTGGTTTCCTCTAGTAATTTTCATTGTACAAGGATGAAATCAAAGTTATTATATCATTTACCTGCTTATTACGTGGTTCTGTATAACATCTACAACAAAAATGGTGTAATTTAGTTACTTTTATTCAAATTTTATCAGTGTCAAGTTCAATGACCTTTCAAACAGTCCAATACTAACATTCTAGTGATTTTGCTAACACAAATACTAAAGCATTTTATATTCATAAACATCGTTTAATCTAAGAAAACAACATCAAAAAAGGTAAAATTACTTCTAGTGAAACTAACGTGTTTTATGACTGCAAATTAATTTAATAACTGTAATAATTACATTCTTTAGCTTCATCTATACTCATTAAGAAATTCCACATTTTTATTCTATGGATGTTACATAATACAGTCACATTCTATTTTCTATTTGCTTGCGGTAACTTGAATAAGGGAATTCCCTTTCTTTTATTGTCTAAGAATTCTAAGACAAAACAAGTTATTACAGGACTTTATTAATGACCATTATACAATTAAATTATTCATAGTTACGACTATTAACAAGGAATTACAAGAATTTTTTAAATTATAAACTCACTAGCTACTCACATTTTTACTCACCACTCGGCTCCTATTGGTCATAGCACGATGTTTTATAGCCTGTAGCCTTCCTTGATAGATGCACTATCTAACACAAGAAGAATTTTTTAAATCAATCTAGTAGTTCCATAGAAACATATACACTCTTCAGCTTTATATAAGAGAGAAGTATAAGGTTAGCTTATACTGGCTATGTTCAGAGTTTTAATGCATAGAAAACTTTTTAATTCCCTCTATTTCCATTTATTTATTTTGATGATATTTACTGCTGATTTCCATTACCTATCTCAATTTAATATTTCTAAACATTTTTTTTTAAAGAGTAAAATCATCGAATGACTTCTCAGGAGGGAGTCTCAGACTCTTACTGACTAAAAATCACCTTGTTCCTACTCATGCACTTCGAGTCGGAGCCCCGGTAACCTGTTAGGTTCTCCGTGGCTCAGTATCAGCACCATTGGGCTATTGGGACATTGGGTCGATTTTTAAATTAGTTTTAATGGAAAAAATATCTATGCATTGCTAAGTATTGAGTAGTAATCATTTCATGGCAAATAATTGCTGAAAGTAAGGTTCAAAATTCAGATGATTCAGTCTTCCAATAAGGTAACAATTTTAACAAAAAGTTTGTTTTAAAATAGATATCCTAACAAGCTAGAAATATCCTTTTTGGAAACTTAGTATGTACATTACGTACAATGAATCCTTTAGTTCTAAGAATGCAAGTAATTTAATGCAAAAGGCACCTTGACCCCACTATGCATTCAATTGAGTATTATTGACAGAATCTTGTACAAATAATAGTCTTGTTTCTATTTGTATTCTGATTTAAACTTTACATAAGTTTCTTGTTTTGATGTTGTTTTCATTCATTTGTAGCAGTAGTTGTTGGTTCTTTCATTTTGAGGGTCAAGTTCAAACATGCTTTTTTACTTTTGGTACTCAAGAGAGTCTTTATTTCTTAGTATGTAATTTTCTATACAAAGTTACAGCTATATTTCATTTATATCGAAAGAACATGATTATTTTTTACTAGTCTTATTTTCCCTCCATTTATGTAAAGCTATGATGTATTGGAATCTGATTATCCATTGAAAATTGTTGAAAAAAATCCCCTAAATTTGTTCATACAGTAGTAGTCTCTAAACATTGGAAATATTGCGGAGAACCTAACGGGTTACCGGGGCTCCGGCTCGACGTGTAGGAGAAGGAACGGGGTAGTTTTTAGTCAGTAAGAGTCTGACACTCCCTCCCGCCTCACCTGGCGGGTTCAGTCATTCGATGATTTCCCCCCCTTAAAAAACACATTGGAAATAAAGTCTATAATGTAGTTAGTGGAGAGCGGTCACCGGTGACCGCTTGGGGATATATGGGTTAAAACAATGTTTTCAAAGACCTCTTCATCTTTGGAGATTCACCACCAAAAAGTTTTCATATGACAACTAGCCCCCTTATCATGTAGTTATGAATGTTAATATGCAAATACATTCAGATTGATAAGCAGTAAAGTAACATTAATAGAATTGGCACTGGTTCTAATGTACTGTTTGTAGCCAAACTTGGCAACAAATCCTTACTTCCTGGTTCCTAAATTATGTCTCAGTTTTTTATATTCTGCTGGTATTTCCCGCGATTTTGCTTGCATGTTCTCAGGATAATTGAATACTTTTTTTAAGGGGGAAAATCATCGAATGACTTCTCCCGCCTAGGTGAGGCGGGAGGGAGTGTCAGACTTTTACTGACTAAAACCACCCCATTCCTTCTCCTGCACTTCGAGCCGGACCCCGGTAACCCATTAGGTTCTCCGCGACATGATTGAATACTACCTTCTACCAGCGGCTTCGCCCGGGTTCCTGTGGCATCCCATATAAAATAGCCTATGTGTTATTGCAGACCATAATCTGTACCTATTACAAATTTTAACCCGATCACTTCACTCATTTTGATGTGATCAAGTAACAAATATGCACACAAACTCCCGAACTTTCAACCTACAGCTTTACTGGCCTAGAATTGAAAAGATTTCCTCTAAATAGTTTCAATATGATAAGAATATCCAGACATAAAGTATCCTTTATATTTCTTCCTGACGAATTAGGAATACACTGTCCTTTTGGGAACACATGTGTTTATTTCTTTTGGCGGGAATGTGCATTATTCGACGTATTTTTTTTATGTATTAGCTAATTACAAAATAACTATCACTTATTATATTAAGCAAATATATTAATAGTGTGGTTAACTACTTATTTCATTTGTAAATGATCCCTTATATTGATTATGGTCTTAATCATCTTATGGTCTTTCATGAATGAGCAAACGCTTATTCAGTCTCTTGTAGAGGCTGTTATAGACAGTTGCTCTGTCGTAACTTAACTCGTCGAGTACCGGTTTTATAGACACAATTAAAGAACAATAGGTCGCGGTCACCGGTGACCGCTTGGTGTTTGACAGTTTAAAGTGCGGTGCAAATGTCAAACATTGTGCTAATTTCTACCTATCACATTTGTAAACAAAACTTTTGATTGTTTGAGTTTTTAAAGTAGTGCCGCTAAATCCACTTGTGTATTTCGTTCATCTATCATACATAAGAATTTAATCAGTGTTGGATCTAAGGAGTTTATTTTGATTGGCTGAGTAAGTTTTGGTCTATTAGCTCATTGAAAAAAAAGTCACAAATTGTATTCCAATTTAATTAGTACTCTGACCGTATGCATATTTTATGTTTGTTTTGTTGCCGTTACTTTCTCATCCTACCACAAAGTCCCACGTGGCTAATTTCCTTACCTATAATTACTTCATAATTATACACCACCTGATATATTCAATACAACATTGGAGGTAGGGCCACGCCATACGTTGCACGGCGAACCACAATAATAACAGGAGTCGCAAGTAAATGACAGACCGCCATATTTATTGACATTGCAGGCTGAATGACTTTGTGCCTTGTGCTTGTTTTGATAGATAAGTAAGCGTGTTGTTTTTGGACGGTTACGACTTGAAGAATGCGGTTTTGCATGACTCATAGCGTCATAGCATAGCAAAATATATTTACGAAGGAGGTTTTTATTTTGTAGTGTTCTCGGTTATGGTTACGTAAAGTGTGAGTCAATGTGCTGGGTCAGGACCAAGATTTAGACGACAAGAAAGTATACTTGTGACTCAATTCGCAGTTTTTATCAGAAAATTCTCAGATGAAATTAGCTTGAAAGCAAGTTTACGTTGAACTAAATAAGCAATGTTGCCTTGACCGAATTTCCTTCATGGTTGCGAGTTTCAGCGCACAATGCAACAGATAATAAATTGCATAAACGTAGGTATACTCGAACTTGGGGTGCATACTTTACTCTGCGACCTTATTATTCTACCTCCAGACTTTTTATAAATTCGTACCGTTTTAGTTCTACATAATTTGCTCAATAATATGCCATTGGGATATAAGTACCACAAAAGTTATTATTGTCTCATAAAAAGTTTGTAATAATATTAAGATTGTAAGTTTATGTACCACACTAGACAACATCGTCTAGTGTACAATATTTTTTACGATCTGTAAGCGTAAACAAATCAATGTACCGTCTACTTTCGCCACGAATTCACCGTTTACTCACGTTTTTATTTGTTTTCATACATTTTCAGCTTGCCATGTGGTTTTCTGAGTCAGAATAGAAAATATTTGAGCTGTTAGTGTGATAGCCATCGCTATTAATTTAAACGAATGGTCTACAAACCAGTCCGTACTAATCACAGTACAAAAGGTGTAATACTAAGTTATATGCTCTTTAGTATTAATGCCAAAATCTACTGATCTAATTACCGTTCTCTCACCAACTCATAGTCTCATATTTCGTAAAAGAAACAAAGATATTTCGATACACAGTCATAACATAGGTTTTGACGTAGATGCGTATAAAGTCAAGGAATCTTATTTATTAGTGGCAAGGGATTTCCCCAAGTTCTCGTTCCAAAGTTGTATAGTAATACCACAATAGAGTAACGTTAGCGAACATCCATTCATTCAGGATAACAGAAAAAAACTAGGTAGTGGTTTTTTTACCGATGTCTTAGAGGCGAAGGGTTGTTTACAAACATTTTTTTTCCATCCTAGTTTGTCCCATATGGTATGGGATAATAATATCATTTCCAATATGTTCTTGTTGGAATTTGGGCGTATTCTTATTCACATGTTTCTTTCTTCCATTTTACTTTAAATAATTCAGTTTCATTGAAGCTCATTACTTCAGGTCGGTAATACATCGATAACATTTCCACATTACCTCATTCAAAGGATATCCGGCTTCGCATTCCTTAGTTATTTTAGCGATCACACGAATAAGTGATAAAACTGGTTTGAGCTTTGTAAGTGGTGCGGATAATCCCCTAATTTTGGTAAAGTTCCGTCTAATAATAGCAACATGACGTTAGCAACTGTTTCTTAAAGGTATATCGTCCTTGAGGTATTTTTAGTCAGCTTGTGACCTCGTTCTAGTAGACTTATCGCTCGAAATGACTTAGGATACCTCGTAAATCTATTTTGATTGAAAGGGTTGGAATTGAGCGCCTGAAGTGGCTTGCCTATTGTGGCTTTGTACAGGACGGATTAATAACAAAAATGTTTTACAATTATTGCAATTTACGATGAAATATGCCATTGACGAAATAACCGATAGCACTATTTATAACGTAACTGTTGAAATGACTACGGTTTGATTGATTCTGTACCATTTGGGTACTCAGATGAGTGGTATTTTGATACGAAAGACCGGCTCATACAGAATTGATGGAAAAATGACATCAAACACTAATATGTTTCAATTTTGTTTCAGCTATTGTAAATAGAGGCTGTAAATATAACGTATATAGTTTAAAGATGAGTTTGGGTGCGCGCGCCACCAAGGGTGGTGCGAAGGGGGGCGCTAAGGACAGCAAGCATGCACAGGACACCCGGAAGAGCACAGACAAAACCCAGAGCAAGGAGAAGGTGAAACCACAGGTAATTGATGGAAACATCATACTAAATGCCTAAGTACAATCGTCAAAAAAAGTCATCACCCTCCCCCTTTCTGTAAAAACATCCAAAAAGATCAAGATCGTTGCCATAACATGTATGTTATGCGAATGCGATGTATAAGAATATGTATTTAATGTGGAATATTTGAATGTCTGTAGGACGAGCTTATAGTGGGTCAGGATTCTAATTTGACGATTGTACTACTACTTAAGTCTATATTTTTTAGTGGATTTTGATTTTAGGCTACTTTGACCAACGCCTCATGAAATACGTACTAAAATCTGGTGTTTAAAAGCCAAAGATTATAAAAAAATACTTGATAAAAATCTACGTCAAACGCACTCATTCAAGAAAACCAAATCGTAATACATTTTTACATAAGAATAAACTTGTAACACACGTGAAATGTATACGTTTAGAAGGCATTGCATAAAATTTTGCTAAAATTTTTCTCCTTCAAGTTGGTGAGCAATCGGCACGTCTCGCTAAACCCAGGGTCAATGACACGCAGGTCACGCCGTCAAGGTCGGCCGCTGTTATTGTCATATCTACGATTATACCAACTTATCTCTATTTTATTACGCGATACGAATACGTTAATATGTAAATTGAATATAAAAAAAACTTCTTTCTCTTTTTTCGATGACGTCAGCTCCTGGACTGTGAGCGGATTAGGATTTTCGCCTGTGTCGTGGATGCGTTTACATACATACAATTTCACATACCCATGACACTCAGACCCAGAACAACAACTTGTGGATTACACAAAGAGTTGCTCCATGTGGGAACCGAACCTGCTACACGTTGCGCGGCAGCCGGTTTCCCAACCACGGCACTAACCGTGCAGTCAACACATACTATACGTGCTCTACATAAGATTTGCTGTAATCTCCTCGTTTGGCAAGCGTATTGGAGATCACATAATAACATCATCATCATCAACAACCCATGAGAGTCCACTGATAAGATAAGATCACGCCTTTTTATCCTCGAAGGGGTAGGCAGAGGTGCACATTACGGCACTTAATGCCACTGTACAATGTAACACCCACTTTTCACTATTTATGTTATGAGTCCCATGTAATAGGGGGTGAGCCTATTGCCATATACCGGGCACAATTCCAGACTCCGTGCTACTACTGAGACTACAGTCGCAAGTGCTTGCGACCACTCGGCCAACGAGGCAGTCTACTATAATTTACTCATTTGCCTTAATCTCAACGCTTGCCAAGCGCTTTGGAGATTGCAGTTTAAAGGTTCATGTTTGTCAGAGGACCCTACTCTCTGGTCTTTGTCAAATGTGAAGTCTCTTATTCAGCTCTTTCGACACGTGCTTATAGACACGGGTTGGTGACAAAAGTGCGCTTAGTACGTGGCTTTCTTAGAGTTTCTTGAAGCCATCGTCATTATTATATCAGCCAGAAAAAATCCTCTGCTGAACATAAGCCCCTTCGTAAATAGGAAACCAGCCCATCTTCAGCTTAGTTATAAGGAATGACCTTAATATGAACGCTTATTTTCACCTCCTCGAATATTTATAAAGACTTGATCGATTTCATACACAGAATCCCGCAAAAATATCCGATCAATACTATTTACCGAAATAGTCTGGAATTGTTTACAAAGCTCTCTGTAATAATTGTTGTGTATCATTTGTTTTGCGAAATAATGAGAACTTGATACTCGACTGTTGCTACCGAAGAGCTTGTAAACCAGGTGTGGGGGCTAGGGCTGTCCAAACTCTCAAATGGAATATTTTAAAAAATATAGACGAATTTTGACAATGCCATGTTGTGACGTCAGTGTGTTAAGTAGTTTATAAAAGAATTATGTTATTATATAACTCATATTTGCCACAACCAATTATGTTACATTAAATAGTAAACATTTTCTTTTTTCCACTCTAGGAATAAATAAAAAAGTAACTCGAGTTGAGTCTTCTCCATAGGAATCTACACTTTGGAACGAGTAAATAGCTTCACTAGAGGACTGACAGACTGACACTTTAAAATTTTTGGCATTCAAAAGTGCCTTTCTGGACTACTTGAAATAAATGATTTAGACTTACACTAGACACCTAGGACACTAGACCCTTCAAAATAACTGTTTAACCAGACCAGACACTCCGGGCGTCGGGGATTGCGGGACGATCTCCGGCCACCGTAGGGGCGGGTCTGCGGACGGTGAGCAAGGGTAGCTCGCCACCCGACTAGAACTAGACTCGTGTAGACGTACACCGCGTCCCGTTCCGAGCGCGCCTCAAAGAGCCATCAGACCACCATAGATGGGACCCAGTAGGGCTGATGCCCGATACGGAGCCGCGGAAGGCCTAACGGGTTACCGGGGTTCCGGCTCAAAGAGCAGGAGTAGAAACTAGAGGTAGTCAGTAAGTCTGACACTCCCTCTTGCCAACCCAAGGCGGGAGAAGTCATTGGATGATTTTCCACCCTTAACAAAAAAGGTTATTTGATCTGAGATTCCTTGTGTTTATTTGTGTTTTGAGTGTGCGTTCAGTCGATATCTCGATATCTCGCAGTCTTGAAATAATAGTCGAATAAATTAATTTTCAATATGGAGATTGGAATGGTGTACTAATCAATTAGAGTGCGAGTAAGTGTAGGTTTAGGGTTAACCTACATGGATAGGTTATTAAATAACCGCTATACTATAATTTTACCATATTCTGATTATGATTTGGTCTGTTTAATTTAAGCTGTACGTCTCCCATGCTATATTTCGTTGCGTGATCCAAGACAGTTATTCATGTCCCTGGCACGCGCCGGTCTTCAGTGTTCCGGTGTTTGTCATTGTTGTATATACTGTAGATCCTGGCTTTTAGGAGTTGAAGCTGTTAATTTGGGAGGATGCGGCGGGCTTGTCCCATTTAAAAAATATATAAGTTGTACGTACCAGTACTGAAGCTTAGGTTTCGTGCAATAATTATTTATTAATATAAGAAACCCAGAAACCCATTTATAATCTTTTTCACTTTGAAGCAATCGATAAAACACTTTAATTACAAAAGGTGTTGCCAATTATTTTCCTATTACTTTATTGAGCTGGCAACCCTAGTTCGCAACGTGGGCGCGTAATACAAATTACAACAATGTAGTTGAGTGCTGTTACGTTGTTCTAACTCGAAGTTCTCATGTAGGGGCATTGTGACCTATATTTTGTTATATCGGTGGAAAAAGTGTGTTAAACTACACCTTGCAAATAGCTTCACTAGAGGACAGACCGACAGACACTTATAAATTTTTGATTGACATTCAAAAGTGCCTTCCTGGTCTAATTGAAATAAATAATTCTGACTTTGACTTTAAACTCGTATTACATAATTTTTATGGCACTTAATGCCACTGTACAATGTAACACCCACTTTTCACTATTTTTGTTATGAATTCCATGTAATAGGGGGTGAACCTATTGCCATATACCGGGCATATTTCCAGGCACCGTGCTACTACTGAGGAATTTTAAAAACCCCAGTAATTATTTGCTCGACCCGGGAATCGAAACCAAGACCTCTTGCCCGGCAGTCGCACTTGCGACCACTCGACCAACGAGGCAGTTTAAACTCATATTCTTGGTTTGTATACAAGTTGAACTAAATTAGGTCTATCTGGTACAATTCTGACTTGATTACATGTTAAAAGCGCAGGGTGTAGAATCACCCTCAATCGATGGGCATGCATGAAGTGATTGATGAATGTAGATGAAGCGACATAGGTATGCCAGAATCGTGTCATTTGGCGTTCTATTTTATGTCTGCCTACCCCAATTGGAGACAGGCTTAACGGTATGTATGTACGCAACGAACCTTTCTTTGTGTGATTCACAAGTTGTTCCGGGTTTGGGTGTGTATGTGATTTAAATTGGTACGTTTTGTAAACAAATCCACGGCACAGGAAAGTCACATAACAAAAAAAGCACATTGCTAACTTATCATTTTGTCCCTAAGCTATCTAGATTACATTGGAAACTTAACTTTAAACACATGTGTAACAGAATTGCTATTTTATAATCATACTTACAATGCTAACCTGTATTACGTTTGTTCGCAGGCAACAACAGAACAGCTCCGCATGGCACACATGATCGATCGTAAAAGCGATGACGCGTCTGACGTTCGAAGAATGGTGAGTTTTTACCCGACTGCCAAAGAAGGAGGGTAATGTTTTTCATATTCATTTTATCTTCTATTATGACGTCAGAGACATTTACCACCACCCCTGCTCTTGCCATGTTGTTCTCTCACTCTGGATGTTGTAAGCAATTGCAGATTTGTTAAAATCACATAAATTGTCAGAATCTATGGCAGAAGTACTAGCCTATACCTGACTAATGGCTAGCTTTTTGAGTACTAAAAGTCAAAGCATTTATTTCAATTAAACCAATATTTGGTACTTTTGAAACGTCAACAAATACAAAATAAATAATAGTCTGTCAGTCAGTCCGTGAAGCTAGGCGAAGCTAGATATTAAGAGCAAACATCGTGCTACAATATTACAAGTAGTTACTTCACTAACTGGAGTACCTGTCATATGCAGTTTCTCACACAATAATAGATTTGATATGCGTTTACACGCCGCCCGGTGTCGTGGGAAAAGTAACGGCATCGCCGCTCGGTCGGCGGGCCCAGTAATCGTAGGCAGATAGTTGCGATTCTAATATGTATTATGGGTTATGTTAGCGGGATTTATATGTATAAGGAATTAAGGAATATATATCATCTATGTTTTTGTATAATAATCTGGATAAAAATATCAAATTTTTATTCAGGCCTGAATATTCACACTTCTTTTCTCTGCACTTCCCTATGGTTGACTGTAAGAGAATGCCTTAAGGCATTAAGTCCGCCATTCACTGTATTTTGTGAAGAAGATAATAAAAAAAAAAAAAAATTGAAATGCTACTCAATTTTAAGTTTTACATGTAATATCTCTGTCATTTTGCAAAAAATTCTTAGTGACAGAACTATACTTAGCGCGACTTAAAATTGAGTGACGTTTCAGTATTTTGACATTAATCATTTACATGGTAATTTTTATCTTTTCGTTAGTCATATATTAAACCTTTGGTGTTGTCGTGGTGGCCCGGAGGTTTAACACACTGGCTTCTCATGCATGAGAATGCAGGTTCGAAACCTACCAACGGCAAGTACCAATGTGACTTTTTTCGAGTTATATGTACTTTCTAAGATTATCTAGACACTTCTGACAAACGGTGAAGGAAAACATAGTGAGGAAACCTGGGCTTATAATTTCTAATTATAAGTTTGTAATCGCCAACCCGCATTGAGCAAGCGTGGTGATTAATGCTCAAACCTTCTCCGTGTAAGAAGAGGCTTTGCTCAGCAGTGGGCTTTTATAGGCTGTTGATGAATGAGTGAAAAATTAATGAAAAACTGGTGTACTATACAATTCACTACACCTTCCCACCAACTACTTCAACACCATGTTGACACAAAAGTCACGATTTCACAAACAAAGCAATCAAATTTAATCCCTCGTTCATCTTAACAATAATCCGATCGGTTGAAACAACATTGTAGCGAGGTACACTAAAAATGCAAGGGTAATACCTACTCGAGTGTATTGCTGACTTCCGTTGCGCCTGAGTAACATACTGCAACGTAACCAAACGATACAAGGATGTGGGCTATGGGTGACGATGTATCATTGTAGTGTGGTTTCATTAGTGAAATTGTACCTGTACTTTTTGTAACACAAATTATATCGGTTTTTGACTAAAATTCCACTCAAATATGATCAACAATTGATCTCTATTCATTTTGGAAAGAGTTCGGTTATCAATTTTGACCGATAGACGGTTTATATGTTAAATTAATTTGTTATTAAGTGACAAAGTTCTATTTTCTGGGCGTAGTAATTACTCTACAGTCAACTGCTACGCTTTGTAGTACAGGGGACTACTAAGAATGACTAAGGCGACGTATTTTTTTTTAAGGGGGGAAAATCATCGATTGACTGCGGGTGAGGCGGGAGGGAGTGTCGGACTCTTACTGACTAAAAACCACCCGTTCCTTCTCCTGCACGTCGAGCCCGAGTCTCTGTAACCCGTTAGGTTCTCCGCGACTCACGTAGAAAGCTGATATTTTGGAATCTTGAGCAGAGAGCAGTGAGAGAGTATTATTGTTTCTGGAGTCAAAGGAAAATAATTTTCGTGCCCAAAATCAAGCTGGCAGGATATCTAGCTACTTTTCAATATTCAGTGGCAATTTTTTCAAATTGTGCAAAGGATTTGCATTCTTCCTAAATTATTTATTACTTCTAGTATTAAATTACAAATTGAATAATCCTACTAAGATTATGAATGTGAAAGTTGGTATGTGTGTTTGTTTGTTACTCCTCCACGTCAAACGGCTGAATGGATCGAGAGGAAATTTGAAACAGGGTAGATTATGGTCTATAACATATAAGGTACTAGCTTTTACCCGCGGCTTCGCTCGCGTCACAAAAGGATAAAAATCCAATGTGACATATACCAATACACACAGCGCCATCTATACCAAAACTTTTGTTTTCCCTCGGGAATATCAAATTTTTCCGGGATAAAAAGGGATAAATACCCTATTATTTAATCCGGACTTCTAACTATACATCTGCAAAAATTCATAGCAATCGGTTTAGTAGTTATGGTGTGATAGTGGAACAAACAAACAAACAAACTCACTTTCCGATTTATAATATTAGTAAGGATAAGGATTTTTCATCCTACTGGAACGCGGGCGAAGCTAGTACGTACACAAGTAGGTACTAAATTGCATATCAGTGCAGTTTAACAAGGCTACATGTTCAATTTAGCATTTAATCAGACTTGATTGGTTAACTTCTGACCCTTGAGTGAATATCTGCAATTGCAGATACTCCTCGCATGATTTATTATTGAAAGTGATCATCAGAAAGTCCTTTGTAGCTTTTTGCCATGGCAAATTCAATTGTATTTGTATAATAACTATCGTGGGACAGAGTAAATTAGCTAAAAATATCGGTTTACTCACGTTAATATATTGAAAAACGCTCTACTAGTTTCGAGTCACAGAGGGACTCTTCCTCATGAAAAGCGTGTCCAAACAGAGCTTTAATTGAGTCTTGTTTTTTAATTTTTAAACTGTTTAGATAAATTAAGGAAGGTGGTCTATTAATAATTATATGTGATGATCATCATCATTATGACATCATGATGTAAGTTTAAAATGCAAGTACCAGCGTTTCGGTGATATATCTGTCTGCCTAGATTGGGTGGTGCCCTATGTTCATCTAGACTTGGTCCAGTTTAGACACGGACACTCATCAGTTAGGACTGGTACTATTGGTTAAGCTTGCTATCATAACATAACATCACGCCTTTTATTCTCGAAGAAGTAGGCAGAGGTGTACATTATGCCACTGTACAATGTAACACCAATTTTACACCATTTATGTTTCAGTTATACTTAGGGTGATAGCAAACTTAACCCGAATAGAAAAGGCTACTCAATTTTAAGTTGTCATCTCTGTCATTTTGTTTATCAATCAGTATCAGCCACATTGGTTAAGTAGTCTTAACGTTAAGCAAAGCGTCCTCCGAGTTTTTATAAATACCGGCAAAAGCTCCTTATTACATGATGGAAAGTTTTTTCGCATTTCAATCGTACCCTTCGTTATGTGTTAAATGATATTGGTGTTAATGTGATTGTAATAAAGTGCATATTCATTTGCATCAGGTGCTGGAGCTGATGGAGATGACATGTCGTACCGAGGAGGAAGTGTGCTCGGCACTTCACGACTCGGACAACGACATGGTCGTCGCCTGCAACCTGTTACTCGAAGAGAGCCAGCGGATACAGGTATGTTTCTCCACTTTATAAGATTTTTATAATAAAAAAACTGACTCATCATCTGATTGTAATCGGTGCCTTCCATCGGCGCCCAACACACTACAGGAGATACAAGTGTTACCTTTTGTGAAGTTAGATATGTCTAAGTGTATGGTCTACTTTTCATACTATTTGTTCACTTTATTATAGCATTAAATGTATTTTGTTGACAGGGCGAGTGGCAAACAAGTGAGAAAAAGAAAAAGAAGCCACCAGCTCCCGCGGGCAACGGCGAGTTAGACCCACCACGGGACCCACGCAGTCGCTCCGGACCCAGGCCACGTAAGTATTGTCATACTACATAAACTTACTACTTCTAGCCAAAAATAATTGGATATTAAATCTAAGGTAATTTTTTTGATAGATAACTTATATTCATTTAAACTGTCAAACACCAAGCGGCCACCGGTGACCGCGACCTATTGTTCTTTAATTGTGTCTATAAAACCGGTACTCGACGAGTTAAATACCCTTTTACTTGGGCTCCAGCAAGAGCCGGTTACTTTTTTGGTAAGATATACTAATGTTGTCGTTTGCTTGTACAGGCCGAGGGTCGGGCGAGCGGGGCGAGCGCGGCGAGCGGGCGCCAGTGTCGGAGCGCGCGGCGGGCCCGGAGCGCGCGCGCGCGGCGAGGGCTCGTGGCGCGGGGGGCGGGGCGCGCCGCGCGGCCGCGGGGGCGCGCGCTCGGCGGGGGGCGCCGCCCCGCCGCCTGCGCCCCGACCGGGACCCCAACTGCTGGAACGACCCACAGCCCGCCGGTATGTACTCATACCATACACTGGAACTCCCTGCTTGACGCTGGTTTATACCAATTATAAACGCATCCATTAACATGAGTCACATGTTTATTCATTCAGTCTTTTCTCATTATACCGAAGTCTTTTATTAATAAAGACCACCAGCAACTCCACTAACTACATTATAGCATTTTGTGAACAAACTGCAAATACCTAGTACTCTTGCACCTCAACATTTTTATTATTTTATTTATGCAGGTGGCAACAACATCGTCGACACATTCCCCACCACAGAAGACTGGGACAACGAGGAGTGGTCCGGTTCCCTATCAGATACCAAGGTACATATTATTTTCTTATAACAAACAGTATTTCATTGTTTCTATTAAGCAGTTTTTAATGTAAGGTTACAAACTTTAAATTTTTATTGAGAATGAAAATCTGGTTTGAATTTAGGGTCGAATATTAAATGATGTTTGAAATTAGTTAAAAATTAGTTAAAAAAAAAGATATTTGTTACTAATATATGGGGGCTGGTGATTTCGATCTTTATATGGAATACATAGTAATTGTTTATTGCGGGCTATCTCTTGCCATCTACATCCAATTTATTTCCCAGAGTTTGTTATAGCGTCAACTCATCTCATTGGGAACGGCCTCCTCCTCTATCCTTCCTCTTCATCATGGTCTCTATTCAAACACTCTTATGGTTCACTTTTCTTTGTCCATTCTGGCTTTGTGCCCAACCCATCATAATTTATTTTCTTTCACAACATACATTTAAGTGTGAGAAAGCCATGTTTTGTTTCGAATGGGCTAACTCGAGTCATATATGATTTTAAAAAAGTTATGCTTCTCTGCACGAGTGAGGTTACTGGAGGCCTAATTTCTCTCTCCCTAATCTTTTTAAAAGGCTGATAATGCAGTAACTTCTCTAGTGTTGTGGGTGTCCATGGGCCCTGTCTGCTTGTTTACCAGCTTAACCCATAAAAGTAGAAATTTAAAGTGGAAATCTTTGCCAGAGTATGTATTTCCTGTAGGGTATGACCTGGGTGTCTTCAAAGCCCGAATGAATAGGTTCCTTAGTGTTCCATTGTAGACCGCATCATTGCTTACCTTCAAGTGAGATAGTGGTCAAACGTCACCCCATTAAAAATAAATAAGTTTTCAAAGTATTTTCCCCCGAAGTAGTAGTAAGTGAGTGAGTGCGAGTGTCCCACGGCCGCCATGTTGCAGGTGTTCACCCCGAGCGCGGCGGCCGCGCCGCCCGCAGACCTGGCCGCGCCCGCGCCCGCACCCGTACGTATACACACCTCGACTCCTACTCGGGTCTTTCATGCCTGCTCCAATAGTACGGCTGGTATTACTCTCACGCTGACTGCTCGTGCACCGTCAGCGCTGATTTAGTCATTTACTTATTTTATTTGAATAGAATGGTACAAATACCAATAACACTATTAAATACATATGTAATAAAAAAAACACAATTTAAATATTTCATTATTATCAGTTAATTCATCTTTCGCAAAACTTTCAAGTATTCAGACAAAAATAATCTTCGTAGTAGCGTTGCTGTCTGCACGCTCGGTAGAGCCGAGATGTATGAACTTTTTGGTCAGCGCCGACCACCGTGCGCGCTCCGTCATTCAGAAACGCTTCCTAGAAGTTCATATATCTTGGCCATCAGCACTGAAGGTGCGCGTGCCGTCAGCGTGAGACTAAAACCAGCCTAACTTTAAGTATTACTAACATCATAATACAACAATTTTGTTCAATAATCTTATAATTTACGCACATATTGGAAAACATTCCAAAATTTTTCAAACTTTTCATGTCACAATGTTCATTCATCACACTGAAATTGTCAAATTCATCATAATTTTTGTCCAGTACTAAGCACAGGCTTTTTCGACTGCAAGATAAATAAAAATGTGTTGATGCGTTGTCAAAAATATTGTAAAGCAACTCCCTGTGTATTTACAGAAATTCATCTAACTTTAATTAACATTATAATTTGATACAAAAATGGTACAATAAGTAACTTTACTTTTCTCGCATGCTCAGACCACGGAAACTAAAGTAAGTATTAGAAAAAGAAAAAAACATTCAAAAAACCACTTAACGCCTTTGTGTTAAAGATAGTTTTCAAAAGATTGTTCTAAAACAAATATTTTGGTTTGATGATTAGCAATTTGTACTTTGGAATTATCTACTGTTTATGGCTTTCAATTTTTCTTCCTATATCTAATGCTTTTGTGGACATTGTTTCTCCACCTAACTAGGTACACTTCTGGCCGTTATCACCAATCACCCCTAAACCACCTTAACTTAACTAACCCCTTACTTCTACTGTTACGTGACACTTATATGTTGATGAAAACTATACAACGTGTCGCGGGTTCGATTCCCGCACGGAACAACTCTTTGTGTGATCCACAAATTGTTGTTTCGGGTCTGGGTGTCATGTGTATGTGGACTTGTATGTTTGTAAACGCACCCACGACACAGGAGAAAATCACAGTGTAGGGCAACGTTTAAAAAAAATGTAGTTAAATGTTACGAAATACTTAAACGTCGCTCAATTTTAAACTGTCAAACACCGCGAGGACACCGGTGACCGCAACCTATTGTTCTTTAATTGTGTCTATAATGACGGTACTCAAAGGGTAAGACGCGCTTAAGTAAAGTCTTCTCACTACAGATTCTTTGTAAGAGGGCACGATACGACTGATTAAGTAGCCCTTCAGTATTCGGGCGTTAGCTTAGCTTACAATTTAGGAGAGATTGGTGAAAACGGGCTTAGCTTCTTAAAGCACCATATAGATGGTGGGCTCTATTAACTCTCTTTGCCTGCTTCTTACAGTCAGTCTCAATACACCATCAGTTGGTAGATTTAAATAGTATTTACACCTAGACGTGTTGAAAACTAAACTTTAGCACGAATGGCCCGGCTCAACCGGAGTGATATCACGGCCTTACAGAATATTAGCGTGAAATAATCGATGCATTGTGGGTTTAGTAAGATTACTGGATGCTCAATCAAACGCTTATAGTGTTGCGAGGGTCAGTGAGAGGGCGTCGATTGCTTACCATTCGGGGATCTGTATACCAGATTGTTGTCTTATTAAAAAAAATATATAATTTTGTTTACCTATTTTTTTTTTAATTTTGTTGTAGTTAATAATTGTTAAATCTACCTACTAGCTTATTGAGACTGACGGTTAGAGTATCATTCGTAAATACACGTGAGAGCAAAGAATCGAAGCAACTAGCGTATTTTCATTTTATTCAACCCTCAAAAATATAGCTCCGTTTTCTAATAAAATGCTTTCATTTTAAAAGTAACCAAATAGCCTTTTATACGACATACTTTACCAATTGGGTACTTTCCTTAATTAAAAATAAATGATTACGACTTCGACAATAAAATATTAAAAAATGAAAGTGTGATACTTTCATGAATTGATTTTATGACAAACTTAGTTAGTTTTTTCCGGCAATTTTTTAAGAAATAAGTATGTTGTTTGACTCTAAAAAAACGTTACGTCACAATACACAATCTCGTACAAAATTCATAGAAATCTGTCGTTTTTGACAGTTCGAAAAAAAGTATTGAATTGACTAGTTGGCAAGTACCCAATTAATTAAATACTTGTATCAGAAAATATAAAAAAAGAAAAAACGGTAGTTGCTTAGTTTATTTGCTCCTAAGTGTATATGGGATTAAGGTTTAGATTAGTATCTCTCGCGGGTGACTGAGTTCCTTCCTTGTGGGTACAGGAGTGGGAGGGCACGGAGGGCGGAGGTCCGCTGGAGGCGCACATACCCACATACACGTACCACAACTCCGCGCACATACCCGCGCACCCGCACCATCAACTGCGAGAGGTAACTACTACGCACCACATCACTCATTTTACCCTTATTCTAAAAGTTACTTCGGATGGGTGCAATATTACTTCTTTTCCACTATCTCTTTTATCATATTGGGGCGGCACCTTTTCTTTTTCAAAAATATTTGTCTCATAACACAATAGGGATGATGACGGGATATGAAAATTAAAAATCTATTTAGACCGTTAGTTAGGTAATGAAAATAATAATATTAGACATGTATTTTTTTATTTTGTCGTATAAGAAAACTATACTTTAGAAGCGGGGGGCTGGGAGCGAACTACGTCATTTTTACGAAGTGGCGTCACGCGATACTTAATGATAATCGGCGAAGCGTCACTGATTTATGATAGATGTCCCACCTACACGCATGAAGCGCTGCGCATCAAGCTTCCTTGTACGTAGTGCTAAAAAGTGGAATTCTTTGCCAGTCTATATCCTGAAGGTATAACCTGGGTGTCTTCAAGGCCCGAGTGAATAGGTTGCTTATGGAACGACGTGTTTTATCGTAGACTGCGTCATCGCTTACCACCAGGCGAGATAATAGTCAAACTTCGGCCCAAAAAATAGAAAAAATCTTCTAATATAGTCGAAATTACTTGTTCCGTAAGATAATAAAAAATACGTGTCTAATTTTTTAGAATACTCTATCAGAAGGTCATTAAAATAAAAATGAGTCATCTACCCTATTGTGACGTTACTAATTTCTTGTTATTTCATCATGTTCTACACATTTCATTCATCTTTTCTTCGCGATTCTTTACCGTTTACTAATCTACATCGAAGTTTAATACATACTTTAAGGTGGACATTTATTGACTCGATTCAATGTTATTAACAAATTAAAAAAGAGGACGGCTAAAAGAGATGTAGATCGGACTGTGTGAGTCCGCCGAGTCAGCAACAACATTGTAATTCTGTTTGTATTTTTTAGCAGCAAATAAACTCAGTAAGCCGGCAGTCGCCGGTGAGCGTGGCGCCGGTGGTGGTGGCCAGCGTGGCTAGTGTAGCGGGTGTGGCGGGCCCACCCGGCAACAACACGCAGCCCCCGCCCCCCGCCACCCAGCCCGACACACAGCCCGCGCCAGACACGTACCACCACCAGGTGCACCACCAGGTACATTACTGACACACACACAGCCCGCGCCAGACACGTACCACCACCAGGTGCACCACCAGGTACATTACTGACACACACACAGCCCGCGCCAGACACGTACCACCACCAGGTGCACCACCAGGTACATTACTGACACACACACAGCCCGCGCCAGACACGTACCACCACCAGGTGCACCACCAGGTACATTACTGACACACACACAGCCCGCGCCAGACACGTACCACCACCAGGTGCACCACCAGGTACATTACTGACACACACACAGCCCGCGCCAGACACGTACCACCACCAGGTGCACCACCAGGTACATTACTGACACACACACAGCCCGCGCCAGACACGTACCACCACCAGGTGCACCACCAGGTACATTACTGACACACACACAGCCCGCGCCAGACACGTACCACCACCAGGTGCACCACCAGATACATTACTGACACACACATAGTCATGACCACTACAGATCCTCAGCTGGACCCCCCTAAGACTATGGACGCACGACGCGGTTTACTCCCGCGCCCGCCGCGGTAGCGAGCCCACAGCCTTTGTAGAATACAGATATGTACTATGTAAAAGATTAAACCACAATTCCCGGCGCGGGCGCGGGGCGCGGCCCGCCGCCGCTCTCTGCGTTGGTTGGTTGCGCGGTTGGCGGGCGACCGCAATGGGAGGGAACTGATTGTTTAACCGCCCGTCCTGCGATATTCAACCGCCAAATTTGCGGATAATAGCAACCGCGGCGGAGTTTTGAAAATAAAACTCCATTCCGCCACCGCGGCTGGCGCCGCTAAAAATCGCATCGTGAGTCCTTGGCCTAATAGGGGGGAAGCCAGATGCGGAGCTGCAGACATCTTCACTTGTTACCGTGACACCGGCTCGAAGCTGGTTTTTAGTCAGTAAGAGTCTGACTCTCTCCCTTCACCTAAGGTGGGAGAAACCGTTGTATGATTCTCCCTCCTTACTCGTATATTTACACTCCTAACAATTGTGTATTTTATCAAGGTGATCTTGATCATGAGTAAAATTTACTTATGCGCTTGTTTGCCCTCTATTCCCTAAAAAAACAGTGACTGAAAGAATTGTGACATATCAATTAATAATATTTTGTTTGGATCCTCTTTTTATAAGCAATTTAATAATTGCTTAATACTCAATTTGTATCTTCATAGTGGAAAGTGGATGATATTTATTCTCATTTATTTCTTGTGTATTTCAGCCCATGGGTATGTCAGGCAGTCTAACGGCGGCGCAGTCACAGTACCTATCGCAACTCACGCAACAATCGCAGAGGCATGACAATAGTAAGTAGTACAATACGTTTACATTATTCAAACATACCTCTACTCTCCCGCGCGCATCGTAAGAGCTATTGATATTAACATATAGAAATTTGACTTAAGCTCCATTTAAAATGTGTCAAAATGCTATCTCTAGTAAGCAAATAGAGCTAGATATTCAACAGTGATGCAATGCTTGCCAAGCATTGGTTGAGCAGTGGGCCTAATATAATAATAATATCCCCATTTAAGAAACCTCTTAGTAAGAGGCACACTGTCCAGAAAAAGAAAGAAAAACAATTTATTTGCATGATGCACCAAATACACAAACAAAAAATAGTGTAAAACGAACAACAACAAAAAATATTCATTAAAAAAACACGATGGCAACATGCCTATGTCAAAAAAGCTTGCCAATTTAATATGAGCTGAGCACACCAAGTACCCAACACTGATTTTCAGTTCGCACCCTTGTAGTGAAGCATGGACGGAAGCAACGGAAACATAAGCACTGTTACGGACAGTTGTTGGTGGTAATAATAATTGTATGAATAATACGCGATGTACTTCCAGGTGTGTACACGTCCAACTACGGCGTGTACGGCTCCACAGACATGTCCAGTCAGAGGAAACCACAGCGGGCGAGAGTACCGCCGCCCTCTAAGGTCCGTAACTATTGGCTACAATAATACTTTCACATTACACTTTTAATTATTTCATAACACCCTATTGAAAATTGTTGTATATCATCCCCTAATTCATACAAAAGTAGTCTCTAAACATTGGAAATGATGTCTATAATGTATTTAGTGGAGAGCGGTCACCGGTGACCGCTTGAGGATATACGGGTTAAGCAACCTAATACAAGTGTCCCTGTGTTTGTATGTTTGGCAATATTTCGGCCATTGGAATAGAGACAGTGCAATGCTTAATGGTAATGACTTTTTCGCTTCATCTACATTCATTAATCTCTTCATGCATGCTCTTCGATAAGGGTGGTCAAAATTTCAAATAAATCTATGTAGCACTTTTCGAGTTCATCCGGGACATACATACAGACAAAAATTCTAAAAACCATATTTTTGGTTTCATTTTTCATAGCATTTTTTTTTAATATTCCATGTACAGTTTTCACTTTACTACGGTTTTATTATATTTTGTATAAGTTTAATAATTTGTAATTGTGTTTGTGTATAGATTCCATCGTCTGCGGTGGAGATGCCGGGCGGGGCGGACGGCGCGATGTTCCTAGATGTACAGTTCGGGGCACTCGAACCTGAGGCATTGAGGGACAATACCACACCCAAACCGGTGCGTATCTTCATCATTTTTATTATTTAGGGAGATGTTCAATGCGATTTGTCATTCGTGGTCTAAAAGCCTAAGTTCTTTTGTTAATATTTCTTTTATAGTAGGTCAGCGTATGGTCACTTAAATATTATCAAGGTTTATGTCACCCCCATTTAATACTGTTGATATTGCTGTTACCATGAGGAGGTAAACTTGAAAAGTTTGTACTAGATGTGTGTCAAAGTTCACTGACTAGACATGGACGGGGTCAAACACCGGCCTAAGTTATCATTAATGTAATTGATGAGGAAATTGAGGATTTGACTTATGGAGGACATCGGATGGAATTGTCGTGGGTAATTAGTAGCGGAGCAGTAACAGTATGTATCGTGTTCCAGTCGACGCCGGGCACGGAGGCGAGTGCGAGCGCGGCGCCCCCCCCCGCGGCGGCCGCGCCCCCCCCCGCGCCCCGACCCCGCGCCCGACGCCGCGCCCGCATACACCAACAACATGGTGACGTACTGCATACACACAACCAAACAACCATTGTATTGTGAACCTCATTGAAAATGAGGAAGCCATGGAGTTTCTTGTTCGTTCTTCTCCATAGGATTCTACATTTTGGAACAAGCAAATAAAACAACTAGAAGACTGACCAGCAGACTGTATCACTTAATATTTCAATATTTTGTTTTGAAATTCAAAAGTTTCTTCCTGGTCCAATTGAAATAAATGATTTTGACCTTGACTTTGACTAGATCACAGAATTTTCAACAAAAATATTCAGGTTTACAATATTATATCCAAGTTTGAATCCCTAGGTGAAGATAATATTATGCCAGGACAGGAAAAGAATGAAAATGAGTTAATTTTATGTCTTCTTTTGCAGCTAAACGAGAATCTATCTACAGTAGAGCCCACGCCAGTCTCTGTACCACCACCCACTAGTGAACCTACCGTCACAAACACTACTTGTAAGTTTATTATACTACTACTTCCGCGCGGTTTCACACGCTCTGCTCAGCTCTTATTGGTCGTAGCGGGATGTTTTATAGCATATAGCCATCCTCGATAAACGCTCTATCCAACACAAAAATAATTATTCAAATCAGACTTGTAGTTACGGAGATTAGCGCGTTCAAACAAACAAACAAAAAATAAACTCTTCCGCTTTATATAATAGTACCTATAAGATTTTAATCTATTAAAATAAATAATCGTTATTGATGATAAAATGAGCAAAATATAAAATTATTATCTTAGAAAGAGATGTAGACCTTATACAATTAGATGCCTGTACTAGGAAAGCCTGTAAATAGGCTTTCCTAGCTTGTGATATTAATTCAGGTAATAGAGTTTCAGGACTAAACTGTAATCTTTTAATCTTGTAAGCTAACTGACGAGTGAGACGATTATGTTAGCCCAATTTTCAAGAGTGGTTTTACATTGTTTAGAATGATTCGTGTTGTGTGGAAATAAAAGGCTAGCCTTTTTTTTGTTTTGAATTATCTGCAGTAGTGAAAAGAAATATTCACGAGGTTTCGTAATTAGAGAGTCAGGGGGTGGTTAGAAGCGAGGTTATAGCAAAAGCTAAAAAGTAAGTGTGTAAATAAAACCTGAATACTGAAAGGCTATTCAATTTTAAATTGTACTTACATATTGTGTCATCACTGTTATGTTATAAATGATTTGTAGTGAAGTAGTCTTCTTATATATAAAAGAAAGTCGTGTTAGTTACACTATTTATAACTCAAGAATGGCTTAATCGATTTGGATGAAAATTGGTGGGGAGGTAGCTTAGAACCAGGAGACGGACATAGGATACTTTTTACCCAATTCTTTTTTTTACTTTTTACCGAAAATCAAGGACGGGAACGGGAAATATCGGGATTGCGCGTACGAAGTCGCGGGCAGAAGCTAGTAGTAAATAAATGTTTTTTCTTTCTTTCTTTCTTAGTAGAACACCACTTAAAATTGAGTAGTATTTGAGTATTCGGGCATTCGGATTTTAGTAGGTACTAGACCGATTCCGAAAAAGCATTCTGCAGAATGAGTCATATCGGTTAGTGTATGTATGGAAACATGTTGTGTACTCGTGTACAGTAGTGTATATAATATAATATTATCAATATCCGTTGCCCCCAGCGTCCCTGGACGCGTCCCTGGCGGCGTCCATGAAGCAGCTGTCGGCGGACGGCCCGCCGCACGCGCCGCACCACCACCGCGCCAAGGTACCGCTCACTGTATATGCTGACATCACAATCATTTACAACGTCTTGTACTGTCTAATATCAATAACTAAGAAACTAAAAGAATATTTTTAAAGATCTAATATAATTTTATTCGTGTTTTGTGTCAATATGCGTGGAAAGACTGTTTTTATCTGCCGTTACTGACACAACTGACACTACTGCTTATAAAAATGTGCATTATGTGAAATCTTTAGAATGTCTATAATAGTATTATAGATTAATATAAGACTGCGTCGTTGGCCGAGTGAGTGGTCGTAAGTGTGACTGCCGGGCAAGGGATCTCGGGTTTGATTCCCGGGTTGGACAAAGTATTACAGGGTTTTTAAATATTCTCAATAGTAACACAAAGTCAGGAATTGTGCTCGGTATATGGCAATAGACTCACCCCCTATTACATGGAACTTATAACATAAATAGTAAAAAGTGGGTGTTACATTGTACAGTGGTATAGTGTGCACCTCTGCCTACCCCTTCGGGGATAAAAAAGGCGTGATGTTATGTTATGGGTGTTACATTGTAAAGTGGTACAATGTGTGCACATGTTGTGTTATCTATAATAATTCGTAAATAATAATATTTACGAAAGCTTTCAAAAAGAATCTGCTCATTTTTTTGGCGTGAACTATAATTTATTTCTTGGCCATTCAGCATAATATGATTTAAAGTTCGAGTTTTTTTAAATGTCAACCAATCTATTTACGTAGGCTCTTACGGTTTAATGTTTACAAGTCTCTAAGCTATTGTTTCTCCCCCCTGCAGCCGGCGGGCCAGCCGGCGGTGTACGCGGCGCACGCAGTGTCGCACCACCCGCCCGTCTACGGCGCCAACGTATACGCGCCGCAGGTACGCCGCTACACTATACTATACTATATACTTGCTGTTTGGGATATTGCCACAGGAATATTAATACGTTTATATATCGTACCGAAAATCCCTAAAATTTGTTCATACAAACATAGTCTCTAAACATCGAAAATAAGGTCTATAATGGAGTCAGCGGAGAGCGGTCTTCAGTGACCGCTTGGGGATTGAACAGTGAAACATAATATTATGTAACATCATTTTAATTCATTGTGAAAATTTAATTCATTTCGATTCTATGTGGTTAATTCTAAACTTGTTTATTTCCTATGGTTTAATGCATTTTTATAAGACACGATGTAAGTTTACAATCGCATATGGTTTCTGGATGTTTATTATCGTATTTTTATAAAACATTTTTACAAGACAGCCTTATAATAAACTTTTATTTAACTTGTGTACAAACTGCAATCTTGCAACTTCTGAAGCAAATATCTTCGCTGAAATTTAATACACGCGTTTAATTTGCAACACCATAATTGCTAAGCCGTAGAAATGCTACTTTTATTTGAAATAAAATGAGTTATTCCGTCCCCCAGCAGGTGAACTCGACGGTGGCGTCCCTGACGGGCGGGTCGGGCATGTCGGTGACGTACGGCGGCGGCAGCGGCGCGCTGAGCCAGTACGGGCCCATGCTGTCGTCGTACGTCACGTCGCCGTCCGCCGCCGCGTACGCCGGCTCGGCGCTGTACACGCCCGCGCCGTACGCGCCCTACACGCCCGCCATGCCCAAGCAGCCCGCCAAGGAGAACGCACAGGTATACTTTTCGAATGCTTTTGATTATATTCTGGCGTTAAATTTTGCATTTCCTAAGCTAAAAGTAAATTATTTCTATTAAAAATAAAATGCCTCGTTGGCCGAGTTGTGGCAAGTGCGGCTGCCAGGCAAGGGGTCTCTGGTTCGATTCGCAAGTCGGGCAAATTATTACTGCTATTGTAAAAAACATCTCAGAATCATTCTGGAAGTTTGAAATTGTATCCGGTATATGGCAATAGGCTCACCCCCTATTACATGGTACTCATAACATAATAAGTAGTGAAAAGTAGGTGTTATATCGTACAGTGGCATTAAGTGCCGTAATATGCACCTCTGCCTATCCCTTCGGGGATAAACGGCGTGATTATTTCAATAAAATTATTTATATAACCATTCATAACTATATTATCTGTATGTTTCAGTACGAGAGCTCAGTAGCGTCAAGTAATAGTTTAACTAGTACGACGACGCAGACACAAACCTCCACAGCCAAAGTAGCCACTACCACAGGTAATACAATGATATATACAAGTCACACATATTAATTACTGTTTACTCCCTTTTAGATCTTTGTTTGACAAATATATTGGAAATGATGTGTTCTATAATGCGGACTGCCTCGTAGGCCAAGTGATTGCCGAGGCCGAGGGTTCGATTACCGGGTCAGGCAAAGTATTACTGGGTTTAAAAAAAAATCTCAGTAGTAGCACGGAGTCTGGAATTGTGCCTTGTATATGGCAATAGGCTCATTACATGGGACTCATAACATAAATAGTGAAAAGTGGGTGTAACTTCTGTGTGCACTGCTGCCTACCCCTCTAGGGATAAACGGCGTGATGTTATGTTATGTGTTGTATAATTTCGATAAAGCTCCCAATATTTGTTTGTCCGGCAGTATCAGGGCACGGGTCGTCCGGCTACGCGTCGGGCGCGCTGTACGGCGCGGGCGCGACGCCCTACGCGCCATACGATGACCAAATCATGCGCTCCAGTCTACCACACCATATGGTACTGTATTATTACACATTATTATTCCCTAAATAGCGTACATCTACTTAAATTGTTAATTTCCGCGCTAGCTAGAGGGCGCTTGTGTGCTTTTAAGTCCTATTAGAACATTTCATGGATGGATAAAGTACTAGTTTAGATATTTATATTTGATAGAAACTGCATACAACAAATGACGGCAATTTCAATTGAAAGATTTTATGTTGAAACCCTGGCAACTTTTTGGGCTCTCTAGAGGTGACCTCGTATTTTCATATATGTATTTTTTGTTAATTGCCATGTCGGTCACCAGTAATCGACGCTTAGTGGAGAATTTACCTTCAACAGTTTTCTGTCAGCATTCAGAGAATTGATAAAAATCTCTTTATTTATGTTTTGTATGTGTTCTTTTAGAGTCAGTTTAAATTGGAAATATGTTGTTTAGAAACAAAGATAACTAAATAAACGTTAATTTATTAAATAAACCATCGAAAAGGAATATAAAAATGCATGCACTCATGTGTATACTGGCTTCTGTGGCTTAATGAATTTGTAGAAGCGTAAAGAAGAAGACTTTCACACTTATCTGCCTCGTTGGCCGAGTGGTCGCAAGTGCGACAAGGTGTCTCGGGTTCGATTCCCGGGTCGGGCAAAGCTTTACTCTGGGTTTTAAAAAAATCTCAGTAGCACGGAGTCTGGAATTGTGCCTTGTATATGGCTCACCCCCTATTACATGGGACTCATAACATAAATAGTGGAAAGTGGCTGTTACATTGTACAGTGGCATTAAGTACCGTAATGTGCACCTCTGCCCAATCCGATACCCAGAAGGCGTGATGTTACTTTCACACTTATAGTACTATTTGGGATTTACCTATTAAAAATGATCTAAATCAATCCTAAATTAACTAGTATTTAAATGATTCCAGGGTGGTTACTACGAGGTAGGCTACGGCGGTCGGGACGCGACGTTTGGCCTCAGCGCCGGCGAACGATTCGGACGGACTGACGCCGCCTCGCCTCAACAGGTACTACACGCTCCATACACTAACCAACACACGGGAAACTGAAGCTTGGGGAACTACACGAACGATAACATTCACGGACTAAAAATGAACAAGAATATATAACCATTCCTGTTCTATACATTCTTTACTATTTTTAAACGGTTTAAAAAAATTATTGCGGATTAGCCAGGTTCAGCCCATCATGAGATACTTTCGATGCGGGTTTCAGAAAAGAGTTTTATATGAACTGACTGAAATAAAAAAATTAGATAAAGTCGGTTTGTTTATACATTGTTTATGGAAGTTTAAAACAATGTTGCATTAATACATGTAAAATCCAACAGCCTGCTAGTGAATACAAGTATAAATCATCAAAAAATTTTTAGTCGTAACTACCTGTCTGCCAGTAGCTGATCACAACTTTAAAACTCAGGACACAAGTCGTTCAAAGAAATGCTGGCCATTGCAGTGAACTCAAACAGTTATAAAGCTTCAATTTCCCGTCGGATATTATGTACGTTGACTTTACTTTGGAATCAAATATGTTTTCGTACTTATCACATAACATTTCAAGCCAAAATTGACTTTAATACAACTTTGTTAAAGTTTAACTGGCAAAATCTGTATATTTTCCTAATTTACTGATAGTAATATTAAACCAAAGTAAAGTTAATATACGATTTACGAATCCTTTACCTATAAAATTGCCGTTTTAGCTTTTGAAAACCGATAATTTCATAGGTAAAAGACTTAATAAAACAGTGTTTAAAATTAACAATTATAATGTATAGTAATCTTACACTCATAACACAATACATGTAGCATAAGTCTTTAAAAACATCACAAAACATAGTGTGTAAGGTGGAACAGATATCTTCAATTTGTAACATACTAGAATCTTGACAATATACAAATACAGTTTCTTCAAAGATTACTTTATGCGTAGTTCTTTATGAAACAGGTTTGAGTACTAAGAATATTATTTGAATACTTGCTTCTGTCTGCGACTTCGTACGCGCAATCCCGGTTTGTCCAGTCCCCGTAGGATATTCAGGATTTTTTCTGTCTTAAAAACCTTCTCCTAATAATAACAAATGCAACAACAAATGAATTAGTGAAATAGGTCCAGCCATACACGCGTGATGCCGTGACCAAGGGAAAAAAGGATTCATTTTTATATGTATAAGATAGAGTATTTTAACATTCACGTGAAACTCTATTTTCTAGTAGTCAAATCTACCGATTCGGTTATTGGGAATAACCATTAACTAAAAGTCTTTTAGGTAACAGAGAGTTAAAGTTCCCTAAAATCGGAAATGGAGGAAACTCCGACCAGACTTGGTCGCTAATCGTGCCTAGCAATCTACTGCTTAGTAGTGGTACGTCAGTTGTCTATGCAAATTTATTCGCGTGTATACTTGCGGTATATGTCTTGTGTGACGTCATCCATAGATTTTATCGTGTGTGTAGCCAGTCTTATTTATTAATTCGAGTCTGTTACACCTTACATACTTAACACTAGCACTAGAATAACATTAATTAAGAGCTAAATAAGCCTACATAAGTACGAGTAGTGATGAATTCTAGTAGTAACTAGACGCGGCTGACCATTTTGCAGGGTCCCGCCGCCTGAGCCGCTCAGCGCTCGAGTAAGTACACAAGTACACTCACACTCTGACCGACTATACCTCGCAGATATATTTATAAGTGCTGAAAACTATAGATTATGCAGCTGGAATATACCAGCGATAAAAATCAATATTAGTTTACTATACTGTTTTTTACGGAGCAGCTGATGGTAAGCAATACCAGGGTGGAGTTAAATTCGTTACCGGCTATTTGAGGATAGGGATAGATTTTGGAATTGCAGACAGGGAGAATGGGCCTCCAGTAACCTCACTAATGAAGCTTTTTGTTAGGCTTTAGTCAAAAATTCGTTTAATCTCTTTGCATAGTTCATATTTGTTATCTAGTAAGGGCCGATTATTCAATCGTCAGTTAATCTTTAACTGTAGAATAAAATTGATAATTGACAGGTTTTTTTTTGTATGGAAGAATTGTCAAATAATCAAAGTTGTTCCTCAGTAAAAATTTGTCTAGCGTAGGAAAGATCGGTCCTAAGAATATTTGTCAAAACTCTAAATCTTTGAGGCCTTAGTACGGAGTTTGTTTTACGTTTAAAGTAATCAAAAGAAGTACGCATTCAGCGCTCTGAAACTTGTGCTACGCTCGCAGTATTAGAATGTTTCCGTAGTATAAATTAAACTGTCAAACACCGAGCGGTCACCGGTGACCGCAACCTATTGTTCTTTAATTGTGTCTATAAATACGGTACTCGACGAGTTAAACCAAATGTAAATGTTTCGACGACTTTTCAAATAACAACACATTATTTATTGATTTTGTTTAGAACACGCTTAGTCTTCTAGGTTAGTTTTCTAGAAAAGAAAAGACAGGAAAGTTGGCACAACAAATGTTGTTATAAAACTCATAGAAAGTATACCTAATATTAATGAATTTTACCATTTGGGAATATGTTTTACTAGGTTGACAAAATAGCCTATATATTACGTATTAATCAGGGATACTATAGCATGCAAAATGGTGAAAGAATTTAAAAAATCGGTTTAATATTTTTCGAGCTAATCCGTTACAAACACTTACATACAAATATTTTCTCTTTATGATATTAGTATAGATTTCCTTTGATAGGCGATAGCATTAGATTTAATTTAAACATACGGCTTACATGAAATAATTGAGGAAACCTCTATAAGTGCACGCTGTTAAGAGACCCGATGTGACTCGAAACTAGTAGAGCTTTCCTCGAATAGTTCACGTAAGTAACGCCTGGTTCCTGAAAGGCTGAGAAATAAACAAATCGGTTATTAAATCTATTGTCAAGAGCTATTTGTGTTACAAAAGATATATTGATACTCGATTTTATTTAGAAAAGGAATCTTATGAACTTACGAATGGCCGTTTTCACCAACCACCCCTAAACCACTTCTTAACTAAGAATTACTTAGAGTGTTAATAGCACTTAAAGTAACACCTTACTGTTACGTGTCAATTATAGATTGGTGAAAACCAAAATGTTGTTAAATGTCAGCTATTTATTTATTTTTATTTTTATATAACTATATTATTATGCAACAAGAGTACATAGGCGGGCTTAATGCCGTGGGCATACTACTACTTACTAGCCAACCTTTAGCTATCTTAGTGGTTCCTTAATAATTAAGAGGGATTGGTTGAAAACGGGCCATGAAGTTGTAGTAATAAAATAGTTGTTCAGCCTTTTAGAAACTAGCGTTATGCGTCAAATGCCATTTAGCGCTTGTCTACCGATAGAATAGAAAACTAAATTATTCGGGATTGACGTAAATTTTCACAGTCAACGTCAAAACATTTATTAGGCTCTTTTGAGACGTCAAAATTGAATAGGAAAGTTTAAAAATCTATTTATATTTAGTCCGTCAGTTAGGTAATGAAAAAATATTAGGCACGTATTTTTTTATTTTGACGTACACGAAAACAATACTTATATAAAACGAATCAAAGTTTAGAAGTGGCTAAACCGTCATTTCTACGTATAGAACGTACGTAGAAGTGACGTCACGCGGTATTTCAAATCGATATACCGTCGAAAGTTTTAGTTTCTGTAAGAAAATAAAAACAACGTGTCTAATGTTTTACAATAATCTGGCACGGACAATCAAATAAAAATAAGTCAGTCATATCCTATTTTCCGTCAGTCTGGTCTGTCAGTGAAGCTAGGTGCTCGTTCCAAAGTTTAGTTGTTTCGAATGAAGTAGAACAAGCAAGAAACTCTATCGTTATTTGTCAGTATTATTTTTAAAGTTATTTCTACTAGCCATGTTATGGGGAAATAGTGTAAACGTACATGAAATATTTGTAATGCAAAAGAAGTGTATAAGAATTCTAGCCCAAATAGATAGTACACAAAGCTGCAAACCATACTTCAAACAATACGAAATCTTAACCGTCCCGTCAATATACATACTTGATATATGTATTTTTGTTTTTAAAAATATCGACAAATTCACACGAGTAGAAGATACACACAGCGTCAACACGCGCCATAAAAAAAGATTATGTGCGCCACCATCAAAAATAAAAATGTTAAGTAATAGTCCATACTATATGGGTATAAAAATATATAATAAATTGCCAGATGGATTAAAATCTGAAAAATCACTATTAGTATTTCAAAAACGACTAAAGATATACCTAATAAAAGAATGCTTCTACTCAGTGACGGAATATTTGGAGTCCAAAATAAAATAATTTCATTTCATGTGGGAACCGTCGATCTGCCCTATACAAACGAAATGTATGACGGATTCATTATACCTACTCGACATAATATAACATTGTAATACTTTGACATTGTATAATTTTATTATTGACATCCTAAACTCGACAGCAATTATACCTATTGAATTGATTATTACTATGATGTGACATATACCTACCTGACAATTATTATTATTTTTTCTTTTCTTTATGATTTGTAATATCTACCTACAATGTTAATAACAATGAATGTATACCTACATAACTAAAAATGTTGCAATGTCTGTAAGAGGCCGCTAAGTATTAAGCACTGTAAATAATTTTATAAACATCATCTGTACACTTAGTTGCAATAAACGCTTTGACTTGACTTGACTCTTTCGGTAGAGAAATGCTTAAATGGCATTTGGCTAGTAGCGACAAAAATGCTAGTATTAGATAGCATTATATTATTATGGTATAGTATAATAAATCCCGATGTTTTGTCCGATAGGTCCCCGCGGCAGCGCTGCCTCCCGGCTACGCGTACTTCGCGTACCAACCTCCACCCACCACGTATCAATATGGAGTTTATCCCACTGTAAGTATAATTTTAATAATTTTTTTATGGCATAAGCCGGTAAACGAGCAGACGGATCACCTGATGGTAAGTAATCGGCGTCGCCCATGGACACCTGGAACACCAGAGGCGTTACAAGTGCGTTACCGGCCATTTGGGGATTAGGAGTTTGAGGATCGTTGGGGATTTAGGGATTGGGGAGATCGGGGAAGGAGATTTGGGCCTCCGGTAACCTCACTCACACGACGAAACACAACGCAAGCGTTGTTTCACGTCTGTTTTCTGCACGGCTCTCCAACACTTAAGTGCTACAGTTTTGAGTAGACGGGTCACCTAATGATTAGCAATTGTCGCCGTCCATACGGAATACGCAATACCAGAGGAGTTCCAAGTACGTTGCTGGATTTTTGGGTGGTTAAAGGTTTGAAGATTGGGGAGAGGGATTGGGCCCTCGGTAACCTAACTCCCACGTCAATAAAAATTGCTGTGATTGTTTCACGACGGTTGTTTGAAGTCTGCCCATTTGTGCAAAAGCAAGGCTCTCTTACCAACCGATTTGGAAGTCACCTGAAAAGGCCTATGTTCACCAGTGGACGTTTAGTGGCTGATATTTTATGATGATGACATTACCTTAGTCGTAAGTTAGTAAATTATTCAAAAATGTAAATCTTACCATGTAACCTGTAATTGAGTTCCATCCCATCAGTAATATAAATTATAAATGTAATATTTCCAGTACGGCGGTGGCTCCAACGTGGGTGGAGTAGGCGGAGTGGGCGGAGTCGGGGGAGTTGGCGGAGTGTCGGGGCAAGGCAAGGTCTCCACATACACGCAACAACAACCTTACGACGCACAGGACTCATACAAACCTGGTCAGTTGACATTACATTACTGGCTCATTCAACAGTTTAAGGGTCTGTTAGCTCACGCAAAGACGTGACACGACGATCTTGGAAGAAGCTATGACGCCGGCGTTGAACTGACTTATGTATCTGAGAGGAACTAGGACATCGCAATAGTATATTCGTACATAACCTCACGTCTGTCTCCCATGGGGGTAGGCAGAGACTATGCTAACTAGTCTATGCTAGTCATATTGTTCGACATATATTTAATCATGTTTTTAGGACAGTTTGAGGAGTAAATATTTGTTTATCGTACAGGTGGCCCGTACAGTGGTACGGCGAACAAGTCGGCAGGCGGCGCGGCCGCGGATCTCACTAACGCCATGTATGCCAAGACTCATGTCGCACTCAACAAGGTCAACGTGAGTACCGACCTACTTACTACGCTACCACACTCAAACACTCACAAACTCAATCAATATTACATCTTGCTACTTACCACACTACAACACTACTTTCTAACATTAATAATAAACTCCCAATAGAACGCAAATAAACGATCAAAACTTTATAATTTAACTCTACTCTCATATTGAGTCGCGGAGAACCTATCGGCTAACGGGTATCCGGGGCTCCGGCTCGACGTGCAGGAGAAGGAACGGGGTGGTTTTCAGTCAGAGTCTGACACTCCTTCCCGCCTCACCCGGGCGGGAGAAGTCATTCGATGATTTTCCCCCCTTATAAAAACTCACATTGAGATTCATCAAAGATAATACCCATCTTACTGATGTCGTATTCGTATTTTTGCGTTCTATTAGGACACCAACACTCAAAAGACCCAGTGTTTTACTGAAAATATAAAGTATGAAGAGTTATTTGCTTTGAAGTTGTGTTACAAAAATGACTCGTAGCGTCATAGTTATATTAATAAATAATTGTGTACATTACTTTTCAATTCGGAAGCAATTAATATTTTCCGAGAATTGTGTATCAAGTAAAAACAAAATTAGTATTTTTTTATTACTTAAACTGTATTGTTACAATTATCTCATTGGTGAAGTGATCACGATAGCGAATACTGAGCAAAGGTTCTTTGATTTGATCCCTAGGTTGGGGCTGTTTTTACTAAAATAGCAATATGGGTCCGATATGAAACAAAAATCGAAACTGTACATTACTAATTCATACAATATTACACCTTGCATACTATTTTCAATTAAATGATGTTATATTTATGTGTATTATATTATGTTTATACTAACAAAAGCTTTGTAATGGAATTTAATCGCGTCGCGACTGGTCGCGGGTTCGATTCCCTCACGGAACACAAATTGTTCCGGGTCTGGGTGTGATGTGTATGTGAAATTTGTGTTTATAAACACGATATAGGAAAAAAAATGCTTAGCTTTTATTAACAAAAACTTTTACTAAGCCTTCCCCTTTACTAAGGGGCTCTAAGGGGGTTAAGAAGGGGTGTGGATAGATTTTTGCTATTGGCCGTGTGGTGGAGGCAGGTATAAAATTGCTATTATCATTAACTTCTCGCGGTCGGTGTCGGGAGAGCCGACTAAGGGACTACAGCGCTCTCTGATGTGTTAAAACATTTTAAACTGATTTCTAATCTGCTTGCTAACCGTAAGATTATAGATAACCTTGCTATGTAGAGACGGTCTGTTTTGTCAGTCACTGTAATGGGCCTTGTTTATGGGATAAGGCGGTAAATAAGCAGACGTATCGCCTGATGATAAGCAATCGGCGCCATCCATGGCAACTGCAACACCAAAGGAGTTTGCGTTTGTCCACTATCTGAGCTGGTGGTAAGCGATGATACATTCTACGATGGAGTACGTCTGCCTATAAGCAATCTAATAACTATCGTGAGATATTGAATTAACTAAAAATGACTGTGAGTAACCCGTCGTTGCTTAATTAACTAGGCAATCTATTCGCTCAGGCTCTTGAAGACACTCTTGCCCCATCGTCCAAGCGAGTTAGTGGTTAAACGTTGACTTATTCAGTATAAAAAAAAATCAAATGCGTTGCCAGCCTTAGAAAAAGTCAAAGTATTCAAGTTAATCCTTAATCACCCAATCATTGTGCAACGTCAAATAGAATTCGTAGCTCGTTCTATATTGTAGTTTCGAATGTAGGACGAGCAAGGAACTCCATCGTTATAGAGATTGCGTAGTTATATCGAAGTGGTTGTGTTGGTGAGTGTTGGTGTTGTAGCGTGTTGTGTGTTGTAGAGTTACGAGAAGGCGTCGTTCCACAGCGGCACGCCGCCCCCGTTCGGCGGCGCGTCGCACCTGTACATCCCCGCGCCCCCCCACCACCACCCCCACCACCACGCGCCCCAGCAGCACCAGGTACCGGACACTCACTACTACACTACACACATACAATACTCAATATCTATACCAAAACTTTTAAGACAAATAAAAAAAAAACTATGTTTTATGACATAATTATTCATGTTCAAAATAATGTTTCAAGTATAAAAATTGTGTTAGTAATGTAATCATGCAAAAAGTAGTGTTTAAAGATTTAATTAATTACTTGAAAAGACACGCTACTCTCATAATTAAGAGTTCCAGTGTGACTTGAAACTAATCGGGCTTCTCTCGTAAACTTCGCATGAGTAAGCCGTATTATATATAAATATAAATTTCAATTAAATTAAATAAAAACTATAAATTTCACACATCACACTCAATAATCAGCTATTTTATAAGTCTGTCTATGATAAAATTGCAAAATAAGGTGCTACGAAGCAATCGAAACTTGCATTCGTTAGATTGCAATGGTTTATATCACATGAGTGCAGCATGTTCACGCGATGATTTCAATAATTTTAGAGCATATAGTTCTTTATGAAATAATTTATTATTAATACATTAATATAACATCATTTATAATTATATATTTCCCAAAAGGGGTATGCCAAGGTGTATAAAACTGAGTTACCATATATTTTAGTACATTTCGAAGCAATATCTTTTTCAGAATTGATTGTGCATAGTAAAAACTTAATATTATTTTGGGATTTTGTATAATCCGCTACCGAAGTTCTAGATTTTTATCATACTTGCGTATTGTAATACAATGACTGCCTCGTTGGCCGAGTGATCGCAAGTGCGACTGCCGGGCAAGGGGTCTCGGGTTCGATTCCCGGGTCGGGCAAAGTATTACTGGGTTTTTAAAAAAATCTCAGTAGTAGCACGGAGTCTGGAATTGTGCCCGGTATATGGCAATAGGCTCACTCCCTATTACATGGGACTCATAACATAAATAGTGAAAAGTTGGTGTTACATTGTACAGTGGCATAATGTGCACCTCTGCCTACCCCTTCGGGGATAAAAGGCGTGATGTTATGTTATGTTATGTTGCGTAATGTAATTCGTAATAGGTTACATTTTACTAAAACAGATTTTTACCTACAAATCTTATTGTTATGATTGTATTTTGAATATGACCAACTTTACCGTAAGTGCTCAATATAAGCTATTGTGTCACTAGACCAGTGAATTAAAACTAATAAGGTTGAATAATTGGAAGTCTAGAATTGCATATGGTAATTCTGACTAAGCCGTACAAAACAGCTGTCTACCCCTTCTGGGAAATAAACGCGTGATATTTTATTCTCAACTTATACAAATGCCAGCAGATCAGCTTCAACAATCTGTCGCGTTATGTTATTTAATCTTAATTTTTCATGTAAATGGTATAGTCTTAACTTGCTATAAACAACTTGGGTCGGCTCTATTGGAACAGTACTACCATCTCACGGAATACGAACGAGAAATAGTGACATAATGGTGCTACATTTAGTTTCATCTGTTGTGATATTAGCATTATCATTTTCGAGGAGAACGGCTTTACAAAGTCAAAGTCAAGTCAAAGTCAAAGTCAAAATCATTTATTTCAATAAGACCAGGGTGGCACTTTTGAACGTCAAACAACAAAAATTTATAAGTGAAGCTAGTTGCTCATTCCAAGGCGTAGATTCCTATGGAGAAGAACTAGCAAGAAACTCCATAGTTACGACAGCAAAAGTACAATTAAACAATTTTCTAAATGTCCTGCACTGCAAGACACTTGTGATGCCTTTGGTGTTGAAACTTGGCTGCTTACCATGATACCAACGTAAGCTTTGTTGGTGGTAATAGTGTATGAGAGATTTTAGTTCCAATTATCATTAACGTGTAAGGTCGATAATCGTTTAAATTGAATTTGAGACAGATTGTAGTAAGTGGCTGCTAGCGTCTGTATATTATGTTTTTTGTTAAAACAATTTCTAAGTATATTACTTGTCTATATGCTCTGAGATTATTTCTTTTCAATGAGTTCTGGATAACAGCATTATAATAGTTTGAAACTATTATTTATCAGCCCGCTCTGCTCGGGTCCTGTTGACCATAACGTGATATTTTACAGCCTATAATAGTACATATATGATTGAATTGATAAGAATATGATTGGGGTAGTATTTTCTCCTATGACGTGATACACATCACATCCAGAGTCGATGTTATAATTTGTGTATTATACACAGAATTGTGAATACGGGAAGCAGTCGGTTGCCCAGCCACTGCGTCAACGGTGCAATTGTTATTTTATTGTTAGCTATACTAATAATCCTGTTGGGGTTCCGGGCAGTTCTAGCCATAGACCACCACAGATGGGGTTCAATAGGACTAATGCCGATACCCGGAGGTCTTAATGAGTTACAGTGGCTCCACCTCGAAGTGCAGGAGTAGGAACGGGATGGTTTTTAGTCAGTAAGAGTCTGACACTCCCTCTCGCCTCACCCGGGCGGGAGAAGTCATTGGATGATTTATCCCCTTCAAAAAAAAGACTAGTAGGTCATTTGACAAATTTTAATGCATGCGACCTATTAATGACAACAGACGGCCGCCTATCATTATTTGTAGGTTGCATATTCGTTAAATCACGCGTCGCGGACAGTAGGTGTAAGAGTTTGATGTAGAATTAATTTGACGATTTCAAATACAACAAAAAATATATATTTGTAATCCAGGACTCATTGTAAAGTTTACAAAATAAAGGACAAAATACCCAAGAAGTGATATTTTTGTTTATGCATGCGATCTTGTTGAGTTGTTTATTTAATTTTATATTATATTTCTTAGAGTTTGCTTTCGTTTGTAGATGGATGTACGGGTGAACAGTAGTCATAGGCGGGTAAGTAATATATACATACATACATATTTATTAATGCACTATATTTATACATATACATATATTATATGTTACGTGCACTTGTTGTTGTTTTAACCTTTTCAATATTTATTTTCATATTGTATAGTTATCGGAGACTCAGTGATTGACCGACGAAACTATTGCTTGTGGATCAAAAGTGAATTTGAAAAGAAAATTGTACCATTATTGGATACTTAATGCCGGAATACTGAAACGTTACTTAATTTTAAGTCGTGCTTAAATATCGTGCCATCTCTGTAATTTTACAAAGAATTTGTAGGGACAGAACTATACTTAAGCGCGACTTAAAATTGAGTAGCGTTTGAGTATTCCGACATAACTCATTAAAAATAATTTAGACTTCACTATACAATAAAATATTAAAAAATAATCCCACTGATTTTCGAATGTATCTAGACAATTTTTAAGAAATATTGTTTTGTGATAAAATCTAACTTGAGGCGTCATTATTTTAGTAATTTATAAAAAAAAGGAAAATATATTTGCCTATCTATTGATATTTTAGTAATCAATTAATATATTGAAGAGGTTAATCGTTATTTCTATTATCTATCGCTATATATTTATATGTATAAAGTTTCTAATCTACCTACTACCCGCCTTTCACATAATTATATGTAATTGCATGTAAAATTATGTTTTTGTTTGAATGTTTGCATCTATTTACTTATTTTATTATTTATTTTTATTTGTGCTCATTTTGAGTTGAATTTTTTGATAATCAAAATATGCGAAGTATGTGCTATAAAATGTTATTAGTATTTTATAAAGTGTTGAAATACTGATCTATAATTTCACAAGAGTTCCGTATGTCAGGATGGCCGAGCGGTCTAAGGCGCTGCGTTCAGGTCGCAGTCCACTTCTGTGGGCGTGGGTTCGAATCCCACTTCTGACAAACTTTTTGTACTATTCTTTTTATGTATTTTCACTTACTTGCACTTTATAAATATATTTTTTTTTACTTTATTTCTTTAAAGTACTGTTTTATTTATTTTTATTATAAAATCGGCTAATATTTACGCGAACCAGCAGATCAAAACACTTCAAATTGGATGTTTTAAAATAGATTTTGAACTTTATTTACAAAATGATAAGGTTTATAAATCTAGATTAGTATACATTGATTTGCCGGTGTTTGCTTCTACAAAAGATATTGACATAATATAGCTTATCTCTTCTCTATGTATTATGTGTTTATACTTCGTTCGAAATACTATTAGACATAAGAAAACCTATATACTGTCTGTTTAATCGATTTTAACTCCAATTGGTACAAAGTTCAATGGCGGCTGCATTTCATGAAATATATTGTTAGTTTTATAACATATTCTTTGCTTTTAATGCCAACCTTATGCCTTCAGAATATAAGCTAAATTCAGTTGAACAGACAGTAAAAAAAATATTTGTTTAATACGAATAGAGTGTAGTATAATTGAATTGTTGTGTTAACAAGTATGTGGTTCCGTCGTAGGAGAGCGGTGCGGGAGGCGGGCGCGCGTCGTCCAGTAAGCCGGCCGCGAGCAAGCCGAGCTACTCGCAGTCGTACTGGGCGCCTAACTAGCCAGTCTACAGGTACACTCTACTAATATTATGAATTAATGCAATCATAACATAACATCACGCCTTTTTATTCTCGGGTGCACATTTCGGCACTTAATGCCACTGTACAATGTAACTCTCACTTTTCACTATTTATGTTATGAGTCCCATGTAATAGGGGATGAACCTATTGCCATATACCGGGCACATTTCCAGACTCCGTGCTACTACTGAGAATTTTTTTTGTAAAAAACCCAGTAATACTTTGCTCGACCCGGGAATCGAACCCGAGATCCCTTGACTGAATCACTTTGACTTTGACTGAATCACTTTGACTGGATTTTAGTGTTACATTGTTCTCACACAATCCAAACAGCAAAACTATGTAACTAGTAAATTGTATTGTGAACCTGATTGAAAAAGAGTAACCTATGGAGTTTCTTGCTCGTTCTTCTCCATAGGAATCTACACCTTGGAATGAGCAAATAGCTTCACTTGTAATTTTCCTTTTGTTGACGTTCAAAAGTGCCATTCTGACCTAATTGAAATAAATGATTTTGACTTTGAATGCCTCACTTGTCCGGCAGTCGCACTTGCGACCACTCGGCCAACGAGGCAGATGTTTGTTACTCTTTCCGACAAAATGGCTGAAGGGATCGGAATAACACATGGGCGTTTTATACCACGAAAACGCGGGCTAGATGGCTGAATAGATTTTACAATACTCTAGAACACAGTCATTGGGGATCTCACAGGACTCTTAGGGGCGAAATTAATAACCTGATCTTAATTAATTCCTTCTTCTGCAGTAATTCACCGAGAGAAGTGGAAACTATCGTTTTTTCTTCTAATAATTTCTGATATATTTCGTTGTGACAACGAAGATAGGTATTCATGTCCCTGGGATGCGCTGGACTTCAGTGTTCCGGTGTTTTCATGGTTGTATCTACTGTAGATCCTGGCTTACAGGAGTTGCAGTGGGCTTGTCTCACAAAAAAATTTTGACAATATTGATTTCGACCGTCAAACAGTATTAGTATTTAGTTTTTAATGGTATAGGCCGGAAAACGAGCAGACGGATCACCTGATGGTCAGCAATCGGCGTCGCCCATAGACATCCGAAACAACAGAGGATTACAAGTGCGTTTTCGACCTTTTTGAGCTCAGGGAAGCGGTGTAGTAATTGGGCCTTGGGTAATCTTACTCACATGGTGAAATAAAACACAAGCATTTGCAGAAAACCTTACGGGGGTTCCGGTTCAAAGCAGAAGTAGGAACGGGGCAGATAAGTCAGTAAGAGTCTGACACTCCCTCCCGCTCCCGCCTCATCGAAGGCGCGATAAGTCGTTGGATGATTTTCCCCCCTGAAAAAAACATTCTTTCACTCTGGTCGAGTCGGCCCTTTCGTGCTAAAGTATGAGTCTCCCACACCTAAGCTCATTATTAAATTTGCTATTGTAATCTTGCCGCGTTTACAGTGCAACTTTATTGGTTTTTAATAATTTGCTTCACTGACGGACAGACTGACGACCTGTTCAAGCAAACAGGCTTATTGAAGAACTCTTAGACAATATTATGTTCGGTTTGTAACCGACTTCAAAAAAGTGTGTAATACATTTAGGATAAGATTACTGGGTTTAAAAAAAATCTCAATAGTAGCACGGAGTCTGGAACTGTGCCTTGTATATGGTAATAGGCTCACCCCCTGTTACATGGGACTCATAACATAAATAGTGAAAAGTGGGCGTTACATTGTACAGCGGCACCTCCGCCTACACTTCGAGGATAAAAGGCGTAATTTTATGTTATACATTTAGGAGATGGATGGGTAATGATATATATATTGTTGTTTGTTGCAGGCGCGGGTCGGGCGGTCCTCCGATGTATACCTAGCTCAATACTGAACATAACACGCGACACCCAACCAGCATTACTATATAAATTCATTGTGTAAAGGCATCGCCGCCGTCACAAACCTACGTTTTTTTTTCTTTTTTTTAACAAGATGTCGTGGTAAAGTGATGCAATATAATTATGTATTCTATTCGTTAAGCGTCGTGGCGACGTCGGTGCACTCTCATCTCATTCGTTAAGTCCGCTATCATAGGTTTCAATTGTTTAAAAGAAATTACCTCTAGTGCTATGTATATCTTATAAAGTATGTATATGTATGTAAGCATTTGGTACGCTATGCGCGCCGAAGTTTTTTATTTAGTTGACATACTTTTTGTAATTAACACTTATTATTAAAAAATGATTAAAGAGATGTCATAGGACGATAATCGTAATTGTAACGAGTATCATAGTCGAGCTCTTTTATATGTGGAAGAATGCAGTTGTGATGATCTCGCGGGCATTTGAAAGTATGACGGATTACACATATTGGAACTTGAACGACTTTTATTTTATTTTTACCTTAAACACCACTTTGTACCAGAAATCAATCGAATAAAGTTTGTTTTTTTTTTCTATTTGTATTAATCCTGAAAGTCTTATTTCTTTTTATTTTACATTCCTTGATAAATATTTTTTGATCCTAGCGTTTTAGTAATTGGTAACGTATGTCGTGTAAAAGGAAATTTAATTAGCTTTAAAATGTGAGTATTTTGTTCTAAGGATTATTTTTTATCTTATTGAAGGTAAGATAATGAAAAAAAATAACGTCAAAAAAAATAAATTCAAAACCCCCATTCCCTGCTTTTCTTGTTTCGATATTTTCCTTTACCGTATGTCAGTGGTGCCTAATGATCTTGAAAAGTACATGGAACACTGAAAATCACACAAGCTTAAGATATCAAAGCTATCCCTATTCGCACATTACAGGTCAAGAGGACGGACTGCTTGTTTATGTTTTCTTTTTTATACATGGCCATAGTCTTGGATAGAGTCTGGCAAACGAAAGTAGAGACTGAAAAAGCCCGGCAAATTTAAAAAATATCAGTATAACAACCCAAAAATTAGTACATACCTGGAGTAACCAGACGTGAAGACGTAACAAACAAACAAATTATTATAAATTATCGAATTAGGTTATTTGCCGGGCTTTTTCAGTCTCTAGGCTTTTTTTTTAAAAAGAGTAACGAATGGAGTTTCTTGCTCGTTCTTCTCCATTCGAATCTACTTTTTGGAATGAGCACCTAGTTTCACTGACGGACTGACTGACAGACTATTATTTATTTTGTATTTGTTGACGTTTCAAAAGCACCAAACTATGGTTTAATTGAAAAAAAAAAAATCTACTTTCGTTTGCCGACTAAGTATTCTACTGTATCAAGAGTGTAACAACATACAAATTCACGTACGTAACACACCCAGACCTGGACAACAATTGCTAGATCACACACGAGTTGTTCCCTGTGTTGCAGCCAGTTGACCACCCATTGAGTTTTCAATGCGGTTTAGCCGAACTTCCACCGCTAGATATCGTTACTAATATTATAAATCGGAAAGTGAGTTTGTTTGTTTGTTCCGCTTTCACGCCGTAACTACTAAACCGATTGCTTTGAATTTTTGCAGACGTAAAGTTCGAAGTCCGGATTAAATAATAGGGTAGTTTTTATCCCGGAAAAATTGATATTCCCGATTGAAAACAAAAGTGTTGGTATAGATGGCGCTGTGTGTATTAGTATATGTCACATAGGCTACTTTTTATCCTTTTGTGACGCGTGCGAAGCCGCGGGTAAAAGCTAGTACATAATAAGTTAGTTTACTTGGCTATTATTCTGTGTTAACTTGCATATTTGAGCCTTATTTTTTTTGGAATAGGAGGCAAACCGAGCAAACGGATCATCAGATGGTAAGCCATCACCGCCGCCATATTTTGGTACATATGCGTCTTCCGCAAACTATGCCAGTTAATTAAGCTAGCCATGTATGAAAAACTGGCTCATCTGTGTGACGGGGCTCTGGCTCAAAGCAAGACTACTGCGTAAAATTCGTATAATTATATACGCACCCATGATACAGGAGATCTTAGTGCAGGTCACGCGTTGACAACAATTCATCACTAAGGTAAGTAGTATCGGAATTAAATGGAGATCGATAACTTACTAATATACCTAGTAAATGCGAAAGTGTGTGTTATTATGTTACTCTTTCACGAAATAACTATTGCTAGGCTATTCTGTAAGATGTACTCTAACTGTCGAAGTGAGCTCGATCATGATCCCTCATGTCGATGGTTGTGGAAATAAGGTGCAGCGCAGACGACCCACTTATTGTGCGATCGACAAGTCTGCATGACGCGCAAAATGTTAGTCGTGAATTTTTTACACAGTAGGTAGCTGTAGGGACGTATATGATATGGTAGTGCAGAAATCGCGAAGTTTTATTTTGTACATGAAGTACAGAAAAAGAAGAAGAAAAGGAGAATTTTTGGGTAGGTAAGGTACCTACATCCTATACTTTCAGAAATATTAGGTACTAAAGGGATAGTTCCATATTTAACATTTAATTCTGAAACATCCTTACTTATATTATAAATCGGAAAGTGAGTTTGTTTGTTTGTTTGTTCCACTTTCACGCCGTAACTACTAAACCGCTTGCTTTGAAATTTCGCAGAGGTAAAGTTAGAAGTCTGGATTAAATAATAGGGTACTTTTTATCCCGGAAAAATTTGATATTTTTGAGGGAAAACAAAAATATTGGTATAGATGGCGCTGTGTGTTTATTCGTATAAATGGCGTTGTATGTCATTTAAAACCAGTCAACGAATTACCTACTTATTGGAAAAATCTAAATAGCGCGATAAAACCTAATTCCACGCGAGCAGAAAGCTATTTGTTTGTTTGCCTGTCTTAAACGGCAGAACGGAGGTACTAATTAGATTTTATAACTGAAGATAGTTGAAGGGATGGATAGTCACATAGGCTACTTTTTATCCTTTTGTGACGCGAGCGAAGCCGCGGGTAAAAGCTAGTCTGGAAATATTTTGAAAATTATTTGCTGCTCAGTTTTGTATTTCTTGAATTAATATCATTACATCGACGTCTGGCACCATGATAATAGATAGAGTGTGTTACGTCCACCCCTAGCAAATAGGTTTTATCCTCTCTGGCCCACCAGAGAGGATAAAACTTCGGCGAGTCAGTGATGGAATCCACCTTCAACTTGGTTTCATCCAGTATAAGATGTCCAGATTGTCGACTAAAGTGCGCCGTCTGCGTTAGTGTGCGTTGAAGCAAACACTATTTTTCAATCACTTTTTGCGCGTCGTGTGTGTTACTGCATAAATGGCATAGGTTTTATTTTCATTCACAGAGCATCATGGAGTCTGTCGTTTGCGCTGCGCCTAATCTCGAATTCTCGACCAATGACGGGCGAGAATGCGATCAAGCTCACTTCGACAGCTCCAATTGCCATCTTATAGAATATCCTGGCTGGACGGATTTAGTTTGCAGTTATATTATTGTCGGCAATAACATATTGGTATTTTTGTCCCAGGAACGTTGGTCAAAGCTAAAATAAGGCAATTTCAAATAAAAATTCAATGGATACCCTCAAAATATTTATTAGTATTATCAGTGTACAGGAATGTAATGGAACGTTAACCTTTTGAGCGCCAGGGTCACAAATACGTGACAAGCGAAAACTGTCCCTGAGCGCCAACGACACAAATATGTGACAAAAACAGCGGTACATTAAAACACGAAATAAACTATTTAAACATTACTTTAATGCCTATTTATTTATATACCTGTAAAATAGAAGGTCCAAAATTTATTTATTTCCATAAAACTAATTAAATTGCATTATAAATATTGAGAAATTTTACGTTAAAAAGAAAGAAATAAACTCTGAAAAAAGAATGTCCTCACACGCCAGAGTCATAACTGCGTGACCGCTAGTGATGTAGCGCATGTTGGATAATATCATTATTTCAAATCAAAGATCGATTCGAAACTTTCCTCTGGAATATATTATTTTAGGTATAATTTGGTACTAGGATAAAGCAGCATTAATTTTATGAAACCAGTCTTAAAAATCATTCAATAAGCTACATAGTCAAAAATAAAATTTGGTTGGGTCGAATTTCGATATTCACTAATCCCAACTCAAGCGCATCCCTAACGCAACCCGAATTATCAGTACCCTGTACGCCATGGTCACGACTAGACGACAATATCGTGACGTCACAAGCGCGGCGACCAGAAATTAGTGAAGTGAATGAATAATATTTATGATTAATTTACTTGTGATATCGAGTTCAAGATTTATATTAAGTGACTATTATAATGAGTGGGAATTTAATGACTACGGAAGAAGTTCTTCGCATATTAGAAGGAGGATTTTTATTTCTCTTCTACTGTCTGAGGTCAGTTTGTTTCAATTTCTGTAGTACACTAGAAAAAGAGATCAGACCTCAGTTTGCCTCAGAGAATAGGAGCGAGAGTTTTTGACTCGAAACTTTTATTCTAAGTGTGGGCTCCATATTTACCTATAACTTCGTGGAATAAAGTCTGCCAAAAGTTCCTTTTTTAGCCACGGTGCGCGCTGAGATCGATTTCACTGTCCCCACCACCCACTTTGCACCCAGCGAATTAGATGATCAGAATGCAGGTTGCATTGTAGATTTTGTATAATTTTGTTCTATTATTCAAAAGATTTATTAGTATAAGACTGATTGGTAATTGTGATAATTATATATAATCGTTAATTGTTTTAATTTGTTACTTTTTATGCCAGGTTTATAGAACTTAATATTTAAAAACATGTATACATAGTACATACTGTATAACATTTTATTAAAATTTTCTATTTTTTCATAGTTTTTATTTACCTTCTTAACCTATTTCAATCATATATTTTTAAGTACCTGTTACATTCGGAATTATAAATCTGATTTAAAAAACGTGTTTCATTTATTATAAAATAATATTGTACTAGAACATCGATAAACGAGATATTACGTTGCCACATCCTTATTTCGGAAGCGAAGTAGTTATTAAAATGGCGGGCCGTCCACGCCATGGTCACAATATGAAGACAGCAGATCAAGAATAGTGTTGTACCTACAGTTATTATATTTAAATATATTGTAGTCTCATATCTGTTATTACGGTATTATACAAGTCTGTAAATAGTGTATAACTATTACTTTAATAGGAAGAAATGTAATGTTGAATTAAATTTCAATGTTATAAGGACATTATATTTCGAAATTAAAGACGAAAATGAAAATAAAATTGATTATCGATGAAGTTTTGGAATCCCTATTTTTTTCGTAGGTATTTGCGGTGAATTTGTGGCCTGGCGTTGAGGGCAAGTTCATGCGTTTTTGCTCTGGCGTTCAAAAGGTTAATAAATGCTTAGTTTTCTCCGAAAATAGTTGAATTAAAAATTGACTCAGAGATTCTATTGGAAAGATACTTTTATATAATATTTTGTTGGAATGATTACACAGGTCTCAGTATATAACTACGACTCATTTGTATATTTTTACTAATTTGTACTCTTAGTTTTTATAACTCTTGAAGCCAAAATAGTCATTTCTCTTAAAAAAAAAACAATACATCGCCGATACAATTGTAAGCAGCCTTCAATAAATAAATATATCGAATTATTTCATTGAAATTAGATGTTTGGAGATAAACGAAATCGTTTCGTACAAAATTTTTTAAACTACAACGTAAAAACTAAGAGGTTTTAGGTATAAGTTTAGCTCGTCTATCTATCTGCGATATCGGAACTCTTAAACAGCTAGACCGACTTTGATAAACTCTGTTGAACCAATATTATCCAAGATTGCAGAAAATGTGTTTAGCATTAAAATGGTAGAAAGTTTAAAATGACTTGGTGTATTCATGACGTCAGTTTTCGCATAACAACTTTTATATAAATTCTACCTACTAAATAGGTATTGCATATACACCTACTGTGTATAGTATAGACTATAGACTATTATTATCGTATGTATAGGGCAACTCGCTCTTGTATAAGCGTCTACAAGTTCTTAGCGGAGTGTTGGTCGAGCACCCAGTAGAGGGAGCCACTGTGAGGCTTCACTCTGCGCGCCGGCACCGATTCGTCGTTGTCCTTCAGGATGCGCTGAAATTATGAAAATATAATATAAAAAGCTGGCAAATGAATCAAGGTAAATGTGAAGGATTGGCCAAACTCAAAATTCTTGAGTTTTTATAAGATTTGGATATTGAAATTCTTGTGTATGACATAATTATGTCAAACTCAAAAGCATTTATTTCAATTAAACTGTCAAACACCAAGCGGTCACCGGTGACCGCAACCTATTGTTCTTTAATTGTGTCTATAATGACGGTACTCGACGAGTTAAACCATAATTTGGTACTTTTGAAACATCAACAAATATGAAATAAATAATAGTATGTCAGTCTGTCCGTCAGTGAAGCTAGGATGTCATTGTATAATAGAAATCGACAAGAATACTATCCGGTATGACGTTAAGAATGTGATACGATTAAGGACACAAAAAGCAACAGAAAGTGAATTGTACATTTAAAAAATGCTTTCCAGGGTCTAAAATTTCATTGGTTCTACTCACTTGAATCATTTCCGCCTTGCTCGAGCCACAGATTGCAAACAAGCAGTTTCTAGCTTTGTTTATAGTAGGGAAGGTGAGTGTGATCCTCTCGGGTGGGAACTTGGGCGAGTCAGTAATGGGAGCCACCTTCAACTTGGTCTCATCCAGTAAAGGATGTCCAGGGAACAAGGAGCATGTATGTCCATCAGGTCCCATGCCAAGCAGAAGCAGGTCAAACACGAAGTCTTCACTGCCAAACGCCTTGGTCAACTTCTCTGTATAATCCTGTGCAGCTGCCTCGGCTAAAATGTAATAAATAATATAGATGATAGATATGTCACACTTCTTTTTAAGGGGGGATAATCATCGAATGACTGCTCCCGCCTGGACGAGGCGGGAGGAAGTGTCAGACTTTAACTGACTAAAACCACCCCGTTCCTTCTCCTGCACTTAGAGCCGGAGCACCGGTAAACCGTTAGGTTCTCCGCGACAAATATGTCACACTGGTTTTGCGTTGACCCGGGATTCAAATTCAAAATCTATGCGCTGGGTCCGCACCGCAGTAGATTCGAGTAGCCAGTAGCAGCTAAGCATTTTCTAACGTCTCATATTATACAGGCACACAAAATGTTAATATAGTCCAAGAAAATTATCAGGTTAATGAGGTCATCATGTGCATTAATGTGATAGAGGATTCTTTTGTGAATATAAAATAACAGGGTAAAACAAATTCATTTGATTCTAATACATGGTTGTAGTTTGTAATCCACAAACTGTTACCCCAGGTCTGAAATCAATGACAGAAAATATGTTGAGTGTGAATCCTTACTAATATTATAAATCGGAAAGTGAGTATGTTTGTTTGTTCGCATTCACGCTGTAACTACTAAACCGATTGCTTTGAATTTTTGCAGACGTAAAGTTAGAAGTCCAGATTAAATAATAGGGTACTTTTTAACCTGGAAAGATTTGATATTCCTGAGGGAAAAAAGTATTGGTATAGATGGTGCTGTGTGTATTGGTATATGTCACATAGGCTACTTTTTATCCTTTTGTGACGCGAGCGAAGCCGAGGGTAAAAGCTAGTAAAATATAAAAGTAATTATTAACAAACCTGAAACGCCTTGCTTTATCTTAATGAACTGCTGCTCAACCAGCTTCGTTTTAGGAATCAGCTCTCTCTTGTAGGTGCCGAAGGTGGAGTCATCATCGTTCTCAGGCACCAAACGTTCGTCACAGAATGCCACAACCCAGCTCGACCAGTCGGTGTCCACGGTTTGGAGACACTCACAGAGGTAGTTTAATACGGAACCACCTGCAAATTCATATTAAAATTTAATAATTATATATAAGAATATTTACGTTACTGCCTCATTGGTGACAGAGTGGTTGAAAGTCCGACTGCCAGGCAAGGGGCCTCTTACTTTATTTATTACTGGGAGTTTTTAAAAAAATCTCTTAGTAGTAGCACAGAGACTGGAATTGTGCTCGGTATATGGAAATAGACTCACCTCCTATTACATGGAACTCATAACATAAATAGTGAAAAGTTGGCATTAGATTGTACAGCAGCATTAAGTGTCATAATGTGCACCTCTGCCTACCCCTTCGGGAATAAAAGGTGTGATGTTATGTTACATTTAAGTGAGTAACCCGAGATTTTTAGTTAATTTTGTATTTAATAATGTAATATTTAAGACTTCTTATTAAACTGTCAAACACCAAGCGGTCACCGGTGACCGCGACCTATTGTTCTTTAATTGTGTCTATAAAACCGGTACTCGACGAGTTAATACTATAAATGTAAAATGTTACGTGTATGTTTGTTGCTAAATTATGTCAAACGGCTGAAGGGATTGAGATGTAATTTGGTATACTATGGTCGGGAATAACATAGTATAGGCTACTTTTATTCCACTGGAACATGGGCAAAGCTGCGGACATACATAGTGATTTCATGTAAACTACACTTACAAATGTCAGGTAGGTAGTCTTATTGGGTTTTAATGGTAATTCTAAGTAATAATTTTTTTTTGTAGGACTTTAAATAGTTTGAATTTATGTGTTCAATTGTTTTTGTGCACTTGTGTTGTGTGATATTGTGATGTTGTGTTTCTAAATATAAAAACATTTCCGCCAACACAATTACATTGCGTTAGATATGAGCGCCGCGCCGGCGCGCCGCCGCCGCCGCGCTTTACCACCCCGCCGCCGCCGCCGAAGGAAGCGGACGGCGCGCCGGCCGGCTGGCAAAACTCAGTTCGCTCCCGCTGTTCGCTACGCCCGCGCGTATTATTTGTTATAAAATAAGTACAAAATGTCGACACAAGAGATAGATGTTACAAAAACTAAAATAAGGGAGCTGTCCGTAACTGTTTTAAATAAAATATCCACCAACAAACACAGTTTTTGTTGGAATTATTTCGGTCAGTTAATTGTGAACGTTGGAGGAAAACAATAGTGGAAATGATGAGTTCAGATTCGCAAACTACGATCAATTTAGCGTTGGTTTTCAAGTCAGAAATAAGGAGAATACTAGATGAATGTGATGACAATGAGCCGGTACTGATAACAATGTTAAAAAATAACATGTCCCTAAAATTAGATTACCGCTTTCCTTGCACAGACCTGATTATAGCTGCCACGTTATTAGATTGCAGATTCCAATCTATCAAAGATATTGACGTTTACATGGAACAACACCAAACCACCAAGGTTACATTTTTATCTACTTATGCAAAAACTACTTTGAAAAATGGAGATATTGTCCAGGAGCATATAATACAAGATGCAACTCCTGGACCCAGTACTTCGAAACCATCTTCATCTTTCTTCATGAACCTAGCAAAAAGACACAGCACTTCTGTCAACTCTGCTGACATAGACAGCATAATCGAAACCGAGTGCTGGAAATATTTTAGCACAGCTACGCCCGTAGATCTTCAGGCCTATAAAGATAATGTACTTGAATATTGGCAGGAACGAAAGAAATCATTTCCGTGGTTGTCAAGTTTGGCGCGTGCATTACTATTCGTCCCAGCGACAAGTACCCCAAGCGAAAGAGTATTTTCCGTCGCTGGACAATTGATAACGGCTAAAAGATCCCGACTAAATCCTTTGAGAGTAAATCGTATTATATTCATTCATGACAATTACACCCAGTGCAAAGCTGATATTTAGTTTGCTTGTTTGATTACTCGATGCATAATTTTCGTTAAACTTTTTGTTTCGTTTTTCTTATCTATTATTTTGCTACATATTGTAAGTGTGGGCTCTATGATTAAGTTGTAATTATGTGTACCTACAACTACTGTAGTGTACCTGGACTCAATTGCCAAAAAAGCTTATCAATAGCTTAGCTTGTGTAGCTTCTTAGGTTATATACCTCTGTATTGTTTTATTATTATTTAAATTTGTTGGTATTGTTGATTTTTGTACTTGCAAATGTTATTAGAATAGGCAGTTAATTATTTCGTCAAAAAAGTTTAATAGATATAACAAAATTGATCTCTTTGTTTCTTGTCTCAAAATGTTTAATTCACTGTGATATAATTAAAAGCAATAAGTAACAGAAAACAGTGGCATTTCATTTCTTCCCTCGCACTAGATTCACTGCCATGGTCGCGCCGCCGACTGCGCCGCCGCCGCCGACTGTTTTTAGTCGGCGCGCCGCCGCCGACTTATCAAATACCGGCGCTCATATCTACATTGCGTTTACGCATATAAGTAATTGAATAGGTAATCACTAATCAATATACTTTTATCAATAATAGCTCAAGTCAAGGTTGTTAAATGAAACGCCTACATATAGGTACAATCAAAGTACGTAAAATGTAAAGTTCAAGGTAGGTAGGCAATTCATTCTATACTTAAAAATATATTTTTTTTTATTTTGGTACCAAGCGTGTTCCTCATGGATATCTGACGCTAAATATTCTTTCCGGCATTATTCAAGACAAACTTATTTTTATTCCTACACATCTCCCTACCTCTTCATACAGACTTAAAATATATGAAAAGGGTTTATAAGATAATTAATTAATGAATAGATCAATAAAAGTGGAAGCTATAAAAATGACCTTTGATTACTTACCTGAAAACCCGACGTAAAACTTCCCGCGATTCTCAATGGCATCGTTAGCTATCTTCTCGATTTTAGAAGCTATCTTGGTTATAAGCTCTTGTTCATCGTTTACAACAATTGTAGTCATTTTCGAATAAGTATTTTATTTGAATAATATCAAGTTTTAAACAACGAACCGAAACTAGGATAGGTTAGAATAAATTCTGATCTAAATGTCATTTCTTTTCTTTCGGCTTGTCATTCTTTCGTATTGCCATTTTTGTTTTTAGTGTTGGATACTAAGCCTTTCTATCCAGTGATAATTTTTTGTTGACTTTTTGACACACATGCAAATGACTATAAATAATACAAAAACACAGTAGGTATTTGTGTTTTTGTATTATTTATAGTCATCGTCAAAAATACGATAATTAAAGTTCAAAAATTACTGCTAAACAGAAGTAAAAAGTTAACTTATGTCAGAAGTGGGATTCGAACCCACGCCCACAGAAGTGGACTGCGACCTGAACGCAGCGCCTTAGACCGCTCGGCCATCCTGACTGAGAATGTTAACATAAAATAGGTAATAAAGAATAGCGGACCATTTTTTATCCAGAAGTTTTTTGTATGGTTGCTATTACCTCTTGCTAAACAATTGCTAAAGTCCAGATCCTTACCTTCTTTTCAAGTAAACTTTTATGGAACGAACCACAAATTAAGTACCTATGAAACCAGAAGGCAGGGGAATAAAATAGTCTGGTACGAGTCAACATTTTATACGTCATTATAATTAGATATGTATAAAGCTAAAAAGTTTGTTTGTAGGCGCTCCGGAACTACGAGTGTGGTTTTAAAAATTATTTATTTATTGGATTGATAGGACCTTTTAATCGAGGAAGGCGATACCTCGCGCTATACTATAACCAATAGACTCCGAGCAGAGCGGATGGAACAGCGCGGAAGTAGCTAGTATATGTATATAAAATAAATGGTTTGCCTGCACGAGTGCATGGGTCATGTATGGCATATGACATGATGATGAGGGGGTGTTGTGATAGATTCAATCACAGAATAACTTACTGTTTGTACGATTTTTTTCAATGATTCAAAGTTTTTAAGCAACTTCAAAAAATAGGATTGTATTTTACAAATATAAAAATCATTTTATTTAATTATTTCGTGGGCATTGTCCTCTCATGTAGCACCTTCGATGCTGCCCATATTCCTAGCAAATAAACTATTTGACCTAGTAAGTAGTAGGAATTATATTCGAAAAACGCTATTTAAAAGCAAAAACATAATGGAAAAATAAGTTATAAAGGGACTATTGGCAAAACAATCACAAAAATTTAAAATAAATAAGTGGATTTACAATACAATAACACTCAATCAAAAGGCACCGACCATATACTACCACTCCGGGGTGATCACGGTACATGCGAACAACTGCCGGCGAACATCGGCACCTGCCCCACATGTACCGGTGTTCGGCAATCTCCTCAGCGGAGGCTAGCTATGCTCGCTACCCACTACATTTTCAAAATTATAATCCTTAATCAATTTGCTGTCGTGACTTCGAAATTGACTGAAGTCATTTATTTTGAATAACAATACTATTGTTTATTTTCTTTTTGATATTTTTAGAGTTTTTTTCAACCGTAATTTTTTATTAAAATTTTCAAATGCAGTAAAATGTGCGAGTACAGACATCTAGTGGCTAATGGAGAAAATAACGCAGGAAATTAACGGACAAATGAAATGAATTAACCTATCTTGTAATCGGAATTAATTTAACTACGTCATTTTTTTTAGTATGTATAAAAAACTTAATAATAGGAATAAAGTAAAAATATTTAAAAAATATTAATAAATTATTGTTACCTTACTTTTACAATGTTATGCTTGTATTAGTTTTCCTATTCAACGATAGATGGCAGTGTATGCTTATAAGTTACTCGCGTTGAAAGTGAAAGTGAGACGAAACGCAATGAAAACGGGCACGGTGACCGCGACACACGGTTGTTGACCGTCAAAACGTTGCGGTGACGTAACCGCACCATACCATAGCAGTAAGGGCGGCCTCGCGACTCGCGTAGGACTTGTTCTCTTCGCATCACAGGGCTATTTATTTTAGGATAAAATTACGCCTTTCAATTCCCAAATGAATAGCCTTATAATATTAAACTGTCAAACACCAAGCGGTCACCGGTGACCGCGACCTATTGTTCTTTAATTGTGTCTATAAAACCGGTACTCGACGAGTTAAATGTAACACACCCATTTTCTCATAGTTATGCTTACCATACGAGTTTTGTTTTCTTTTATATTTAATGGGCTGACGTTTGCCCATTAACTAAATAAAATAATGGGATAGGTCATGGGACGGATCACCTGGTGGTAAGCAATCAGTGCCGTCCATGGACACCCGCATCATCAGAGATGTTACAAATGCGTTGCCGGTCTTTTGAGGATTTGGGGATTGGAGATTGGGAATAGGGGGAGGACTGGGCCTCTGGGGAACATATAGGTTTGTGACACTTTTTTATTAAAAATAAGCGTTACCCCATGCTGTTTTTTTTTCGTGGGGGATAATTACCGACTTCAAAAAAAGGAGGAGGTACTATGTTCGGCGGATTCTATTTTTTTTGTTCGCGCAGTACTCCGCCATTAGTGAACCGATTTCAAAAATTCTTGTTTTCTTTGAAAGGGTATACTCCCGAGATGGTCCCATTTCCATGAGGTCAGGATCTGATGATGGGATCCTAGGGAAACCGAGGGGAACTTTCGAAAATTCTATGGGCGAGTAATGCGTCTATTATGTTTTTCAATTCCGATTTTTAAACACTACAATTTGATAAGGGTCTGGAGTCGACCTGATGATGGAGCGGACAGAAAGTAGAGAGAACCCCTCAGCGATTTATATTAACTACCTTGTGTTTGGGCTTGATAAATTTGTATTGATGAGGACTTTACACCTAGATAGAGTGGGACTGTCATTAAGGGTCTGATGACGAAGAAGTGTAATGGTAAGACGGTACGCCTGGAGTGTCTGCGACGGCTGGGGCATGAGGAGGTTCGTTCTTAACGCGCCCCGCCACCTCCTTGGCTAGCATGTTGCTACACAAGCATTTTCTTATGTACCGTGTCGCATTCCTACTGATGATAGTGTTGATGAATATATTAGGAAGTTGTGTCCATCACTCGGACATCAAAGTCCGGTGTTTACGTAAGTACATAAACGCAGAGGGGGACTTAACCAAGAGAGCGTCTTAGACAGGCATCCAATAGGCACCCCTAATTTTCTTCGCGCCACCGCTATTCTGTCGGCAGTTGAATAACGCGTCCCTGTGTAACCTGGCGCCTTAGGAACTAGATTGCCTTAGGGACAACTAGCTTTTACCCTTCGCTCGCGTCACAAAAGGGTAAAAAGTAGCCTATGTGATATATACCAATACTCACAGCGCCATCTATACCAATACTTTTGTTTACCCTCGGGAATATCAAATTTTTCAGGGATAAAAAGTACCCTATTATTTAATCCGGACTTCGAACTTTACGTCTGCAAAAATTCAAAGCAATCGATTTAGTAGTTACTGCGTGAAAGCGGAACAAGCAAACAAACAAACAAACTCACTTTGCTATTTATAATATTGGTAAGGATACGGTTCTGTATAAACGGTAAGTTTAAAAGGTCGTACTTAAAGGAATCATTAAACACATATGGACGCGTTACACTTGACACAGATTACTTTACACTTTCTGCACGATATCATATATGTATAATATATTACATAATTATGTATGTATGTATGTATCTGTAAATAACACTAGGTATCGCCCGCGGCTACGGCCTAGCCTTCGAGTTTGTGTCCGAACGTCATACGTATGCAAGGCAAACTGTAAAATGATACCCTTTTAATCATCAGTCTGGCTCCATCTAGATCTTATAGGAGTTTCCAAAAGTACGTCAAAAAGCTCGATAGTTTAGTAATTGAGTGTTAGTTTCAGTCCGAAATACACTAACAGGACTTTTCCAAAAGAAAGACAAAAAACATAAAGAAAGAAAAAACATTTATTCAGCACCAGGCATGATGCGATAATTAAATATAATAACATATTTAATTACATTTTAGCTGCCTCGTTGGCCGAGTGGTCGCAATTGCCGGGCAAGAGGTCTCGGGCGTCCTCACCGGACATGGAAGTTTCGGGAGGTACCTGTGTCTGATGGGGCGGGAGGAAACGCCCGGGTGTCATCACTGCGAGGACCGCCCTGAGGACACGGTGGAACACACTGTAGCGGAATGCCCTGCGTGGGCTGAGCACCGCCGTGCCCTCAGGGAAGTGATCGCCGATGGCGACCTCTCGCGTCCGGGCCTAGTGCGGGCCATGATGCGGAGCGAGGGGGACTGGGATGCCGTTTCCTCCTTTTGCGAAGCAGTCATGCTAGCTAAGGAGGAGGCAGGACGCGTGAGGCAGCTAAGCGCTGCCTCCTCGCAACCCAGCCATCGCGAAGGATACACCGGGCGTCGGGGATCGCGGGACGATCTCCGGCCACCGTAAGCGCGGGCCTGCGGACGGCGAGCATGGGTGGCTCCCCGTCCGATCAGAAACAGACCCGAGCGTACGGCGCGTCGCGTTCCACGCGGGCCTCAAAGAGCCATCAGACCACCGAAGATGGGGCCCAATAGGGCCGATGCCGATTTGGAGTCGCGGAGAACCTAACGGGTAACCGGGGCTCCGGCTCGACGTGCAGGAGAAGGAACGGGGTGGTTTTTAGTCAGTAAGAGTCTGACACTCCCTTCCGCCTCACCCAGGCGGGAGCAGTCAGGAGGGTTCGATTCCTGGGTCGGTCAAAGTATTACTGGGTTTTTTTTAATTCTGAGTTAAGATATTTTTTTTAGTTATAGAGGCTTCTATAAAATAAAAATAAAAATCGCTACTAGTGGCTCCATTTCTGAGCTACATAATAAGTACACATCTATGATCTATCATGATCAAGGTATGTTGTTGTGTAAGTATGCACTTGTGTTCCTGTGTGCTCCAGTGTTCCTGTCCATGGGCAGTTTTTTTTACTTTTTAGTCCAATTATCCCACAAACCCCCTGCGACTGCCTCGTTGGCCGAGTGGTCGCAGGTGCAACTGCCGGGCAAGGGGTCTCGGGTTCGATTCCCGGGTCGGCCAAAGTACTACAGGGTTTTAAAAAAATTCTCAGTATTAGCACGGAGTCCGGAATTGTGCCCGGTATATGGCAATAGGCTCACCCCCTATTACATGGGACCCATAGCATAAATAGTGAAAAGTGGGTGTTACATTGTACAGTGGCATAATGTGCACCTCTGCCTACTCCTTCGGGGATAAAAGGCGTGATGATGTTATGTAGATCATAAAATGAAATCCTAATCATTTTCTAGTTGTAACGCACTTGTAACGCCTCTGGTGTTCCAGGTGTCTATGGGCGACACCGATTGCTTACTATCAGGTGATCCGTTTGCTCGTTTACCGGCTTATGCCATAAAAAAAGACTTAGGTAGCTGTATTCAATGTTTATCTGCCAC